TGATGCCACCACGGAAGGTGTTGAAGATGATCAAGCCAATGGCTCCACGGATGACCTCCTGGGGGATGTTAATCATTCGCTCGGCCATGAGCTCAGCGGGCAGCTTCTCAGCTCCCTGAGGAACGACGCCCTGGTTGCAGAAGCCTTGGAGGAGCTTGGCTCCCTTGAAGCATTCAATCTCCAGGGTATCGGTGGGAGGGGTGATCTGCTTAGCCTTGCGGGTCAGGGTCTTCTGGCCAAAGTGGGTGAAGCGAGAAGTCCATCGAGCAGAGGGTCTGGTCCTCTGCTTGAGGTTCAGTGAAGGACCCTCGATCACGTTGGGGGAAATGATGGTGGGGGTCGTGCTCCTGAACAGCGCCTCGAGATGGGCGTCGCTGGGAGTGGCCGCTCGGGGGCTGGAGTGAACGGGAGCGCTGTGAGGGACGTCGTTCTGGAGGTGAGCCAGGTTCTGGGTGTTGATGGGGGAGATGGCCTTCTTGTTGACCTTGGGGGCATCGCCCTCGTGGAACCGGATCGAGTGCGCTGAGAGGGGGTTAACATGGCCGTTGACCATGAGCGAGTTGTCAAAGTCAGGAGCCTTGACAGTGTGGTCGAGCCTGTCGATGGGGAAGCGACCGGCGTTCTCTCCCGTGCCGGTGGGGGTGCCGGCATAGGAGCATTCAGATTGCATGGATCGTACCGACATGGCGTCGTTTACCATTCTCTGCTCGACGCTAGGAGGCACGGGCTTGCGGGAAACAAGGGGCCTCCCGCGTTCTTCCTCCACGTGGGCAGCGGGCGTGTCCATCCATGGGAAATCAAAGGTGCTGTAGTCCAGCTCAGAGGCCTCGCTGCTGGAGCAAATGGACCCCTCTTCAAAACCTACTTCCACTTCTGAGTCAGAGTCAGAGTCAAAGCAAGAAGATGGTTCGGAGGTTCCATACATGCGCGAGTAATATTGGTCCTCAACGGGGACCGGATGCTGCGATCCAATTCTGACCTTGTTGTCGGGGGTCACCTCTTCGAGGAAGAGCTCGTCCTCGTCATGGGGTGAACGTCCCCGGTTGGGTCGCCCGGTGGGACGGCCGAAGCTTCGCTGCTCAATAGAGCGGCGGAGGGTGTCGATGGAAGACTGCTCGAAGAAGATGGGCATTCTCTTCTCGGTCTTGGATGTCCTCGAGCCTCGGGGGGCCATGAGAGGTCGGGGCGTGGGGAGAGTGGGCTCCATGTCGGGTGACTTCTGTGCCATGAAGTCCTCTACCTCCTGCACCTCCGGGCCAACGACGCCAGCGCCGAATGGCCTGGGGGTGACAAGCATGAGGGGAGTGACGGGAGAAAGGTGGTCCATGTCAACCACAACAGGCTCGAGGCCTTCCTCATCCTGGAAGGACAACGGGCTAGAGGATCGGCTATCGGGGCCGTAGTTGTCGGGGAAGGTGGCATGGTCTCCATGGTCAGTGGGAGTAGAGGGCATGGACACAGTAGAAGGGTTCTCAGACGCATCCGAGTTTCTGCGCTGTCGCCAATCGGTTTGTGACTGCAGCGATGGTGTTCGGACAAGTCGGAGCTCCTCCTCAAGCTCGTCGTCCAATGTGATGGAGATACTTCCGTCTCGGTAAACCGCCGGCTCAGAGTCGAACTCGAACTCTTCCAGGGCCGAAGTGGCCTCGGCGATAGAGTTGAGGGTATCGACTCTACCGGGATGGAAAGACTTGGGCTTGGGCTGCAGTGGCTGGGGTGGCTTGACACGGCCCGACAAGGTGTTCTTGCGAGGTCGGATGACCTTGATCCCTGAGGCGCGCTTCGAGTAGACGGCAGGGGTGAAGTCGGCGTCCTCACCAAGAGAGTCAGAGTCCGAGTCGTCAAAGTTGTTGAGACGAGGAGAAGGCATGGGCTGCTCTGGGGCACCGTAGAAGCCAGTATTGCGAGATGCAATCCTGGTCTTGCGGACGCTGGTGCGAAGAGGAGCGGGAACTACGGGGTCTTCCTCTTCTTGCTGCTGAGGGACGCGGGCGTTGGCAGCAGTGGTGGCACGCTTGCGGACCTCTGAAGTCCTCCTAGCAGTCGAACCCAGGATGCCGGTAGAGGCTCTGGTAGTGATGGAGTTGTAAGTAGGCGAGGTGAGGTCCCACTTGTTGTCGTACAGCTTGTAGTTCTCCAGCTCCGGTGTGATGGATTCAGGCCGGCTCTCCTTCTCGACCTTCTTGGGTGAAGGAGGGTCCTGTGCGGCCTTCCTCGAGGGCATACTCATAGGCATTGTAGTCTGTCTGATGAACTGAGGGTTCATGGCGGCGAACGATGTTTGCCTGCCCAAGTGTGGGTTCAGGGAGAAGGTGTTCTGCTGCCTCCTTCGGTCAGGAGCGAAAGAGAGGGTTGGCTGTCTGGTGGTAGGAGCGGCGCCCATTGAGTTTTGTCTCCTCGAATCCTGGGGAATTGAGACTGCGGAGTTCTGCTGGCTTCTGATCCTGTTGTTGACTGACTCCTGTCGCTCGTTTGACATGGCAGCCACGGGTCCCTGCTGGATATCGTAGGGACGAGGGTTGGTCGACGCCCGTCCCGAGGGGGCGAATGATGGTCTAGGAGGAGGACCCTCGACGGCGGTCTCGGCAGCCTTGGACTTGGAACCCCATCCCGTTGGCATCTTGAAGGGGAATGACGTCTCGGGGCGGGTGGTGGGCTTGGTCTTGGAGGAGCCGGTGGGCATCAGCGACGAGTGGCCGAATGCTCGTAATCTGGAGGTCTGCTGCTGGATAGGCGAGACCGATCTCGTCTGAGAGAGTCTCAGCGGTGAAGCTATTTTCTGATCTGGGGTGAGCCTTACCATTTGCGACACGGGTGCTGGGTCCTGTGCGAACGAGACGTGTCTCTGTGATTGTCTGTACTGAGGCATGGCCTCGAAGCGTCCTGAAGATACCTGTGCCATCTTTTTCTTTTCTGTCTTCGGCTTTGATCAACAAAGACGAAGTATTAATTAAATAAAAAAGGGAAGAAAGAAATAAAGAATAAAAGGCTAAAAGTCGAGCAGTCCCTGCTGCTGGGATCCGTTGTTGTAGAATCGTCGACTATGCGAAGTTGAATCCGAAGAAAAGAAGTGCTACCTTAAATCATCTAACAGTCGCCAGGACCGTGGGCAGCATTTACCATAACCTGGTTGAGAGTCGCTCAACAACACTCGCAATGATGATGGAGAAGAAGAAGAAAGAATAAGACGGGAGCGACGGGCTGGATTATGAATATGAATATCAGACCTGGTCGCGACCCACCCGAGGCTGCGGGTAGCACGACTGGCTGCCAGGTCATGGGCGACTCCGAGAGAGCCAGCAGTCTCTGGGGACAATCCTACCACCGACGCCTGAAACTCCATGATGGAGCGGCGTGAGCTGGGTTGTTGTGATGGGCATTGCCGTTGTCAGACGGTTCAAGGTCATCATGGACCCTTGGGCAGTGGGTCCTCCTTAATATGGAGTCATTGGTCCGTTGCTGTGGCTGCAGCTCGTCTGGCACAGTGGGAGCAGTGGGCTGTGGCTGGTGTAGCCCGCAACCGCGGCACCTGATAGGCCACGTCCGGTTGCGCCACAGGGCCCCAGCATCTCACAGGCTCCCAGTCTAGCGGTTCACAGGCCTCGCGTGCTGTAATTTAAGAACTGACAGGGCATACCACAGGCCTGGACGCTGCTAACGCTCCTCAGACTCCAGTGCCGTCCGCATCACGATCATCTTCCACCCACCTGTTCACCCTCGAGCAGCGCCATCTCCGTTGGTGCCTCGACATACGCGCTGCCAATCGCTATGTAGTCAGTTATGGCATCTCTCAGAATAGTTCCCGCCCAGCAGCAGCTGAGAGGCGCATGTATGTATGGCAGGAGATTGACATCACGGGTCGCGACGCGGCTCTGATGCAGCCCTGCTAATGGCCCTCAGAAATAGCGACGGATGCTAAAAATAAGCCCCTGGTGGCAAATCTGCTCTGTGGGCTGTTTGAGCAGATGACAAGCTCCGCGACGAGACGATTTTTCCCAACAGAGAGAAATGCACAGGCGCACAGACCCGTAAAACCACTGCAGCCAGTGGGCGGCGCTGGCAGAGCTAGGAGTAAGCAGCTTGGCTTGCTTCCAAGTTGGTTGTCTGCACCCACAGGCATCTATCTGGTGACCGCCCAGCCTCTAGACCCGAAATGCAGGAAAAGTCCCAGTCGTCTCGTCTCAGAGTCCATCTAACTCAACTGGCTGTGTGCCAATCTTTCCTGTTTTCTGCTCGCCCGGCGGTCCTGTCAAGCCGCGTGGTGGTTAGACAGCTCCCTCGCCTCGACGGAGGGATCGCCCATCCCCCATGCACGGAGTTGGTCTGCGATCGAAAGCAACACCCATTCGTCAGCATCACTTCTGACCACCACGCAGCACAGCGGTTGTCTTCTTAGTGTTTTACATACAGTGCCTGCATGTGCGATCAGGAAATCAATACGTAACATCGTCTCCGTGCGGGCGGGAGAGTGAAAACGCAGCCCTTCCGTCCATCTAGACATGTCTCGGTTGGGGGCCAATCAGTAGAACTTGGTACACAGCAAAGAAAAATTGTATACCAAGCGCCAAGAAGCCGATGTAGTTTTTTTGATATCGCACCATGATATCAGCATCAATACAGCCTTCACCCAACAGCCAGAGGCTTGGTCTAATTTCTGTACAACCCATCCAAGGCCCTGCTAGTGCCCGGGTCAAGCAGTGCTACGGCATCCACCATGAATATCACCGTTGACATATGTCAGCGCCACGGGCCACCGTGCGGCTACAACCCGGTGAGAGGCCGGTGAGCGAGTGACGGAAATATGCCCCTCACTGGCGATCCATTTCGATTCCCCTCCACCAACCCAGCAGCAACCCCCCAACGCACCTCTCGCGGACGGTCCTCGCCGGCATTAGAGCGCAGGCCTTTCCCTCCTCAGAACCCGCGCGGCCTGCCACCCTTGCCAAAGAAGCAGGTTTAGAACAATCCTCCAAGCACCATCAGCCGACACAACCCCAGCCATGGCGGACGACCTCTCCTTGCCGCGCATCCTCTGCCTCCACGGCGGCGGGACGAGCGCCGAAGTCTTCGAGATCCAGTGCCGAATCATCATCCGCCAGCTGCAGAACCGGTGCCGGCTCGTCTTCGTCAACGGGCCCTGGACGTCCCACGCCCACCCAGCCATCCTGCCGTACTTTGCGGACCTCGGTCCCTTCTACCGCTGGCTACGCTGGAACGACGACGACCCCTTCGACCCCCAGGGCGAGGAGAAGATCCTCGCGGTCATCGAGAAGGCCATGAGGGAGGACCCGGGCAGGGGTGACTTCGTGGGCGTGCTCGGCTTCTCGCAGGGCGCCAAGATCGCGGGCAGCCTGCTCTGGGCGCAGGAGAAGTCGCCCAAGCCGCGGACCAGCTTCAAGTTCGCCGTCATCCTGGCGGGGCGCGCCCCCTACGTGGTCCTGGACCCGGAGAAGCAGCTGCCGGCCGTCGCGCACGTCGCGGACATTGGCCAGCAGAGCATCGACTTCAAGGACTGGGCACCCACCAACGAGGGCGAGCATGTGCTGAGCCTGCCTACCCTACACGTGCACGGGCTGAAGGACCCGGGCCTGGAGGAGCACCGGGTCCTGCTCAAGAACTACTGCAAGACGGGGACTACGCGGTTGATAGAGTGGGATGGCGACCACCGGGTGCCCATCCAGGCAGACATTGTCACCAAGCTGGTTGGCTACATTACGGAAATGGCGCATGAGGCTGGGCTTGATATTTGAAGCGAGCGGTAGACGAGATGCGATACCCTAGACTTAGACCCCGGTTCAACACCCGATTAAGGGTTAGATAGAAATGATGCTTTGGTTTACGGAGTATTTTTCTTTTAAACTTGGTAATACGTTTCTCTTGATTTTCCCCGACAAGCGAGTTACATATTCTCCTTCATGGGCTAGCAATTTGTGGGGTTGTTGACACCAAATTAAGTTTGTCATGTCATGGAAATACGCCATACGACGGGAGGATGATGTGGGTTTGGCATTCACAACGGCGGCGTACATGTCAATCAAGAGGCAAAAATGGACGGATGATACATGCACAAAGCACACGAGCGTCTCCCACCGACCGGCTATGTGACGGGACACGAGATGTCGGCAGCACCAACACCAACTTCAAGATGTCCAGTCCAGCGCAACTGACACTGTACGATGATGATGATCGCCTCACCCGCCCCACACACAAAAATAACCCGCGACGGGCCAATTCATTAGCGTTCACACCGGCCTGCCATCCGCAGCCACGGCCGTGCTGGTCGCGGGGGTGTGGTGGAGCGATGCTCTGACAAGCCCAGGGAAACCACCAATCCAGCGGCGGAGGGCTGGTGGTACAGTCATCGCACCAGGGACATTTGTCTCGTCTCGTCCATGCTGGGCTAGGTGTACCTGACAGTACGGGACAGCTGCTGGGAGAGTGCCAAGACACTCGGCACGACCTGAGCGTCGGATGTCTAAGGTGGCCTCTCCCATCGCCGGGCTCCTGTCCTCATCCCTTCCACCGCAAACAACTTCAATTGAGCGTCCAATTGACGACCTGCTGCAGTGGAGAGGGCCAGAAGGTTCCGGTCCCTGATTCCTGGCAGTTATTTTGAGTTCAGCAGCCGCTTCCCGCTATCCCGTTCGCACTATAGCGAGCGACAGGGCCCGTCCCCCCTCTGGCCACCACCCTCCACCCGCTGTGAGGTCGAGCCTCCACGCATTGAACCTTTAAGGTCTCCGCCATGGCTGCTGTCCGGCGGCGCGCGTCCAGACTCGTCATCCTCACCGGCGTCGCCCTATTGGTTGTGCTGTTCCACCACCTCATCCGCTCCTCCTCCTCATCTTCCTCCTCCTTCTCCTCCTTCTCCCGGGTGCCGCCCCCCGCCGACTTCATCCCCAGCAGCTTCAACTGGTCCGCCGCCAAACAGTTCTACCCGCCCGACGTCATCAAGAGCCTCCCCAAGGGCAAGCCTCGCAAGCTGCCCGCCGTCCAGGCCCCGCGCTCCGCCTTCACCAACCCCGACCGCCCCGACCCGCGCCGCGACGACGTCCTCCGCGTCTTCAAGCGAAGCTACAATGCCTACCGGGATCATGCCTGGCTGAGAGACGAGCTCAAGCCCGTCTCGGGCGGCGGGAGGACCAGCTTCGGCGGCTGGGCCGCCACCCTGATCGACACCCTCGACACCCTCCTCATCATGGGCCTCGACGCCGAGTTCCGCGAGGCCAGCAACGCCGTCGCCGCCATCGACTTCTCCAAGACCCGCGACACCGCCGTCAACCTCTTCGAGATGACCATCAGGCACCTCGGCGGCCTCATCAGCGCGTACGAGCTCAGCGGCGAGGAGAGGATGCTGCACAAGGCCCTCGAGGTCGGCGAGATGCTCTACGTCGCCTTCGACACCCCCAACCGCCTCCCGGGCTTCTGGCTCAACTTCGACAACGCCCGCCAGGGCAGGCAGGTTGCCGGTGTCCATGACCCCGTCGCGTCGCCGGCCTCGCTCTGCCTCGAGTTCACCAGGCTATCCCAGCTAACGGGTGATCCAAAGTTTTACGACGCCACGGACCGTGTGACGCGGGTCCTCGAGCGCATGCAGGAGGACACCGGCATCCCCGGCCTGTGGCCCGTCTTCGTCGACTTCCAGAACGAGGTCGCGAGGAGCTCCGTCTTCTCCATCGGCGGCCAGGCCGACTCCCTGTACGAGTACCTCCCCAAGATGCACGTCCTCCTGGGCGGCGTGGACGAGACCTACAAGAAGATGTACCTCCGATCCATGGAGGTGGTGAAGGAGCATCTCCTGTTCCGGCCGATGCTCCCCAACGGCGAGGACATCCTCTTCGTCGGGGACGCCAGGCTCGGCACGGACAAGATCAGGCTCATCCCGGACGGCCAGCACCTCTCCTGCTTCGCCGGCGGCATGTTTGGCCTGGGGGGCAAGGTCTTCGGTGCCAAGGACTACGTCTCGATAGGCGATCGCCTGACGAGGGGCTGCGGCTGGGCGTACAACCAGTTCCCCACGGGGCTCATGCCTGAGCTCTTCACCATGCTCCCGTGCGAGACCCTGGACGAGTGCGAGTGGGACGAGCACACCTGGCGCACGCAGGGCGACCAGCAGATCGGCAAAGGCTGGAAGAGCGTCCGCGATCCGCGCTACATCCTGCGCCCCGAGGCTATTGAGAGCATTTTCCTCCTGTACCGTATGACGGGCGAGGATGATTTGCGTGAGATGGCATGGGAGATGTTCCAGAGCATTGTGCGGTCGACGGAGACCAAGCTGGCGTATTCGGCCATTAAGAACGTCCGAGTCAAAGGCGAAACCGTCAAGGAAGACTCGATGGAGGTACGTATGGGAAGAAACCAACAAGTATTGACATTGCTAACTGGTTCCATTGTAGAGCTTCTGGATGGCGGAAACTCTCAAGTACTTTTACTTAATCTTCTCGCCGCCAGACTTGATCAGCCTGGATGACTTTGTACTCAGCACCGAGGCACACCCTTTCAAACGACCAGGTTGAGCCATGATGGGAGAGTGAAAACTACCCATGGCCCAACCATGAACGCCGATGGTTCATGTAGACCACACTGGTAGCGCGAGCTGATGGTATTGGCACCTACATGATCCATCTTCAGTTATCACGCCCATTGGCTAGAGCAGCAACAGCTTGGGACTCTGGAAATGCGTCTCGGCACCTTGATACGGCAGGTTTTGCGAGGTAAACTCTAATCTTGCCATCTTCAATTCCTAGTGAGCTACCCTCGCTACGAGTTGGGTTGAAAAGTATCTGGATATAGACCTGCAGGTCGCTGGATCGGTGTTAAGAATAAACCGAGCCACCTGCTTTGTTCAAAGTGAATCACCTTGTCTTGTTGACATATTACTTAGAGGGTACAGAAGCTCGCACAGATTGCAATTGTTTGCAGTGTGCGGTTTATATTAAGCCAGGCATGAAGTTGGGTTCCAGCATCTTAGAATCGGGCATAGGTACATAGCATATTTAGCTGATACAAAGCCCCGGCATATGCATTAAAATAGATTGGCAACATAAATGCTCACTTGGTTGGCTCAACTCCTGTCCTGTGGTTTAATACGTGTCACCCTAGCTCGGCAATTCAGCAAAATTCTTGGAAAAAGGAGGACGGAGCATTCGCTTAAATTGCTTGCGTATAAGTTAGGACTTTTGCATTTGAATAAATCACTATCACGAAGCCGGTCATCTCAACTACATTTCAGTATAAACCCTACATTGGATTGATAGCAACCATTCAAAACTATGTTAGGAGAATCCTACATTCACAAACAGAGGAGAGTTAACAGATCTGTGAATGCGGTCTTTTCCAAGGCCCGACAAATCCAAAAGAGCCTCGGGGGTAGATAAGCAAATGAGATGAGGTGTTGTCATCTGTTGTTAGGTCCCTCTCCCAAGTTATGCATAGCTTAGAATCACTAAGATATTGGCAAGATGATAGGCTCTCATCCTCCCCTGGATGTCTCCGAAGCACTAGGCGACCTAGAATCACTCAGTGATCATGAGAATGCGTATCTAATTTAAATTGCTTGCATGTGTATAAGTATCTTGCCTCCCGGCCACTCGACATCACTTGGATCACACTCAACGACTTCCAAGTCAGCAACTTCAAAACATCGACTGCAATGGCCAGCTTCCTAAAGTCTATCCTCCTCCTGATCCAACTCTCAGGCCAAGCCCTTGCGCTTCCCTACTATGACGACCCTCCCGCGCTCACGACGACCTCCGTCAGCACCCAAGCTTCCTTCGAGCGGCCCTACGAAACACTCGCCGCCCGCCGGGAGACAAACTCGACAAAGACTTCCTTTATGCTGAGTTGCGAGGGCTTAGCCCTTGATAGGACCAATGGCCTGACCAAGTCGCCCCGGCTGTCCGCAAATTGCCGACAGTTGAACGGCAGCACCCGGTGCGCCAGCATCAACCTGAGCAACTGCATCGCCAGCCGAGGGGGCACATTGCGATGGGAAAGGGAGTAAGTAGACCCCCTGGCAGCAAGGGCCCTTTTCTCTGTCAGGTTTCCCTTGGCTAGCAGTGGCACATGCTGACCTTGGATCCAGCGGCAACTTCCACACCTCATGCTGGGGGTGTGCACTCTACGGTATTAATCCTGGTTCTATCACCTGCAAATGCTACAAAGGCAATGATACGGTTGATTATACCTCCATCTGGCTCCGTAAGTGAAATGCTGTCCCCCTCCCACGGATCGTATTGAGCTGACAATCGGAACCTCCAGCCGGGTTCATGAGTAACGAGAACGGGCGGCTGGCTTGCGAAGGATACAAAAGCGAGGATAGCCATTGCCCGTCTTCGAAGTAATTGACCGAGTGGCATGTCGGGTATCAGTTCTCTTGGAGGAAGTGCCCTTCTGGAGCTGGATATGCATCCCCGTGTCAAGCTTCATTCATTCATGTATAACTTCCTTTGTCCATGTATTGAATTCACCATGTGGATTATTTGCTAGAATATCGATTGGACTAACCCCCAATTGACTCACAGATAGATAATCTTTAATTCTCTTCTCCCAAGTTACTTGCCTCATTTAACCTGTGAACGATGCATCAAGCGGGGCGTCACGTCCGGCTACATGCATTCACTCACGCCCTTGTTTTGTCATCACCCTCAGCCTCAACACCAAGAAACACCATCTCAATATCATCTCGTAGCCTTCATCAATACCTATAAAACCAATCTTAATATCCTCATGTCTGACCCAGAGCTAGTCGCCGCCTTCCGCCACGCCGTCTACACCGCCGTCCAGGAGATCCCCCACGGCCGAGTCACCAACTACGCCCAGATCGCCTTTCTCATCGGTGAACGTGAGCTTGATCCCTTCCCCTCCTCTCCCCTTATTTTCAATGTACTAATTATTCACCAGCCCAACGCCCTCGCCAGGTCGGCGCCTGTCTCAAAGGCCTCCCCGCCGCCGACTCCGACGCCCGCTTCCACAGCGCAAACGTCCCCTGGCACCGCGTCATCAACGCCAAGGGCCTCATCTCTCATAGGCACGTGCTCGGTCCCCTCTAGTATCTCTAGATCCCATGCTGACCAGTGAACAGAGGCCCCGGGTCAGCGGCGCGACAGGCCGCTGCGCTGCGGGCCGAGGATGTCGAGGTGACCGAGGACGCCATGGGCGAGTTCATCATCGACTTTGGCGAGTACGGCTGGTTCCCCGAGGTGCTGCCCTCGGAGCAGGAGCAGGAGCACCTTGATGAACCGCCGCCTCCGCCTCCGAGACGGCGGGTTCAAGAGCAGTCGAGGCGGCGGCGGAAGGAAAGATCGCGCAGACGGCGGACGGAGGAGATATCTGAAGCATGATTCACATACACAAACGGACATGACGGTATTAACTAAAGAGAGGTACAAGTCAGATGTTCGAGAGATTTGATGAAATTATTTTAAAAATATCTGAAAAAAAAGGAAAACCAGAAAAAAGGCTCGTCGATCGTATTGGTCTCGGTAGCAATAATAAGTGATACAAGACTATCTATCTGTCACAACAATGCCCACAGGGTGGCGGGATATAATCGTAAGATTCATCGCTCTCTCTCTCGTCCCTCTTTCAGCTCTCTCCTTCTGCCTCCTCTTTTCTCTCCCTCTTTCTCTCTCCCCCCCATAGAAATTACACGTTACAGGCAACAACAAGATTTTAATATATTCTTGATGCGAAGGTATGAGGCGAACAAATATAGTGTAAAAGGAGAATATCCATGAGACGACGTAATAAACGCATAGAAATAAAAATGTCGGGAAAAATAAAGTAAGCTTATCAAGGAAACGGGAATCAGCGTAGATGCATGGTCTCATCATGCAATAACAGAATATAAGTGTAGGTGTGGGTGGATGGAAAGGGTGACTGAGTGGATGACTGGTGATTATTGCCACGCAGCCTTTTGGATATATCGAGAAGTTGCGTAGTGACGGAAAATGAACTGCTTTACCCGCTCAAAAACTCCTGGCCAACGAGGAAATGACACCGCAATCAGAACCAGGAAATAGAAGGAAAGGCAAGTGGGTATGCGGATGCTGATGAAACAAAAGACACACAGGCGGTCCAGAACATGCTTGCGGGGCCGCTGAGACGTCTGTCCGTCCACGCCGAGTAGGCTTCTCCCACTCGACGACCGACTAGATGCAGCGTAGCCCCTCCTAGAAGCAGTTCAGGCTGCCCTTCTTCTTCTTCGTCTTGTTGATGGCGTTCATTCGGTCCTCGAGCTGCTTGCGAGCTGCCTCGGCTGCCTGGCGCTTCTTGCGCTCCTCCTCGACTGCCTGCAAGCTCCAGCGGTTGTCCTGGGCTTCCTGGGCTGGCTTCTCCTTGAGCTCCTTGACCTCGTGCTCGAGCTCGCTGGCACGCTTCTTCCAGGCCTCGCAGTCGGCCTTGACCTTGTTGGACTGCTTCTCCAAGTCGGTAAGGGCCTCCTCGAGCGTCTGCGTCAGTTGACGTTCGGCATCTAGATGCTTCTTGATGGTGCGGATGCGAGCCTCCTGGTCCTCCGCAAGCTGGCTGACTTGGCTGGCGCTGAGGGCGCCAAAGTTGTCCTTGCTTGGTGGACGGGTGGATGTCGGTGAGCTCGGCGGGTGGCCGTTGAGGTTGGGAGTGCCCGGTGCGCTTGCTCCGCTGGGCAGAGGTGGCAGCGGGATAACTGGAGGTGGCGAAGGGAGCGAAGTGTGGGACGCGCTCTTCCTGACAGCAGACTGGACACTAGATCGGTTGATGTCGCTAGTGGTCTCTTCATATTTGGCCTGGAGCGGATACATGTCAGTGGTGTAACGATCAATATGTTGCGTCTTCATGACACTTACCTGCAGAGCGGCATACTCCTCTCTGACCGCTTCGAGCTCGGCCTGCAGCCTCAACCGTGAGTTGTTGATCTCCTCGAGCTGTGAGTCACGCTCGGTCTGGAGAGTGCTGATGCGGTTGTTGGTGACCTGTGCCTCATCAAAGTTGCTCTGGAGCTGTTCCTCGAGCTCCTCGATCATCCGCGTGTTCTTCTCGTTGCGGCTCTCCATCTCAGCCAGCTTGCCCTTCAAAGCCTCGACCGTCGCTGTCATGGAACCCGAGTTGGTGGGTGCAATGTCTGCCAGTGACTTCTTGGCGTTCTCCAGGTCTTTCAGGATACCATCATTGATGGTTGAGAGTTCGGCCACATGCTTCTCCATCTCGCCAGCCCTCTTGCGCTCGCTACCAAGCGCCGCGCGGTCAGCCACCAGGCTATCGATCCAAGTACGGAGGTTGTCTGGCTCAGGTTCCATGCCCAGAGCCGTACCGACCTGGCGAGCGAGCGTGACCAGCTCCTCGCGGGTTCCAGAGACTTCCGCCTCGAGGTATCGAACGGTATCAGCTTGCTCGCTCATAAGGACGGCAACTTGCTCCTCGTAACCCTTCTGCTCCTGTAACTTCACATCCGCCAGCTCCTGCTGGTGAGCAGCTTGCAAAGACTCGAGTGTCTGGTGAGTCCTACTAGCAGCCTCCTCGTGGGCGGTGAGTTGCTCCTCGAGTGTCAAGACAAGTTGCTCCAGGCGGTTAGCCTCTGCAGCTTCAGCTTCCCGATCCCTGACAGAGGCCTCCAGGTCAGCTGCAACGGAGGCGTGCACCTTGTTCAGCCTATCAAGATCGGAGACCGCAGTGGCGTGCGCAGTCTCTAGCTCGGCAACCTTGGTAGCATTGCTGTTAATGATGGCCTTGTACTCGTCAATCTCGCTTCGGAGGAAGCTGATCAGACTCTCCTGCTTCCTCTCTACCTCCTTGGCAGCCTCGTCTTGACCGGCTGGGACAGAGCGAGCCTGTTGCAGTACAGCATGCACAGACACAGCCTGTGCCTCCAGCTGCTTGATCGCCGACAACAACTCCTGTTCCTTAGATGCCGCGGTCTCCAGAGCTGCCTTGTGCTGGAGCTCCCACTGGGAGACCTCGTGTTCGAGCTGTGCGATCTTGGTGGCATTGGCGATGGTGTCATCGGCCCCGGGACCACTCATGGCCTTGCGAAGAGCTTCCAGCTCGTTCTCCAAATGCCCTTCGCGGGACGCATGAGCTTCCTTAAGCGACGCAATCTGGTTCTCGCTCTGCTCGAGCTGGTCTCGAAGGGTCGCCACCATGGACATATCGACAGGGCTTGCCTTCAAACTGCTGCGCTCACGAGTAAGACCCGAGATGATGGTCATCTTGGCCTCCATCTCCTTCTTAGTCGACGCAATATCGGCCTCCAGCTCCTGGATACGTTCGCTGCGCGAGTGGAGCTCATGCATAGCTGCATTGAGGTTAACCTCGAAGTTTTGGTACACCTCGGGGCTGTTCTTGAGGTGTTCATTGGCGATATTGCGAAGCGAGGAGAATGAGCGTTGGGCGCGGTCGACGAGAAGGTTCTGGCTTGATTTGCGGCGAATGATAGGGGTGGGTGTTCGGGGAGAAGTGGCCTCGATAGCACGAGCCTTGTGCACCTCAGTCTTGAGTTCTTCCACAATATCCAGAGTCTCGCTGTGCTTAGACTCGAGCTCCGCGTACTTGCTGGCGAGCTCTTTCTCAGCAGCCTCTCTTTCAGCAACAAGAGTCTTGAAGCGGGTGATCTCAGCCTCGAATTCTTGGTTGCTCCGCTCAGTAAAGGCGGGAGAAAGAGGTCCCTCCGTCATATCATCCGACGAAGCACCACCCGGTTTGGTTGTGGCAGTCTCATCCTCCGATGACACGTCACCGTTAGATGTGTCCGCGGTGGCAGGCGAGTCCATAGCAGATGATAATTCCGAGGAGAGCGATCGCGAAGCCGATGACCGAAGCCCATGCTTTGAATCGTTCGTCTTCGTCTCCGACGAGAAAGAATCAGGACGACCTGCAACCTCGGAAATAATTGAATCGCGAGGACGGGATGGCTTACTGTGGCGTGCCTCATCAACTGCATCCTGAAGCTCGGCAACTTTGCGCATAGCTTCCTCGTACTTGAGATGAAGGTCATCGAACGAGTTCACTGTGGTTTCGTGTTCCACGCGGAGATCAAAGAGCTCTTGGGTCACGTTCTCCAGCTTATCGGCCACAAACTTGCTCTGGGCAGAGCTTGGAACATCATCATACTCACCGTTAGCGGGACTTGCCTCAACCCGAGGGTTTTCCTCAACCTCCTCCTTGACAGTAGGAATCTGAGCTGCCTGGTTGCCCTCAACGCCTTCGTCATCCTCGGGGATGGGATCCTGAGTTTGGCTGTGGCGGCTGACATGCGATTGAGCTCTAGAATGACCGGCAGTGCTACTTCGTCGGCGGGCAGGTCCATTGGCTGTGGGTTCCTTGGGCTCGGGTCCGGGCTGCTTGGCCTCCTCGACATTGTCCAGGTCGTAGAGAAGAGAATCAAGTTTGCCTAAGCTGCGCTGACGCTCGATGACCTGCTCCAGACGATCAATTTCCCGTTGCATGAGCTCAGAATCTTGGTCAGTCTCCGCAAGGCGCTCTTCCAGAGTCGAGATGTAGTCTTCGCAAGAAGCCTCATTTTCACGGACCCGGGCAATCTCTTTCCGTAGCTGCATGATGATTGTTGCATTCTTCTCCTCGCCATTGGTATGGCCATCGAGCTTGGTCTCAAGATCATGCAGGTAGTTCTCCGTGCTGGCCTCACGGTCCACGAGCTTCTGAAGTCGGGCCTGGAGCTGAGTGTTGATGGTCTCAGCGTACGCACACTTGCTCTCCTTCTCCAGCAGACTGGCTTCGGTGGTAGAGAGTGTTCCTCTTGTGCTCGATAGGGAGTGTTCCAGTGACTGGATGGTTTTCTCATATTCCATCACAACCTGCTCCACAGCCTGGGCGAAAGAGTTGGATCGGTTGAGACGGTCCGTCGCAGTGTCACCCAGCTCGTGTGCCTCGTTGCTCGACTCATTCTCCCGAGCCTTTGCCATCTCAGAAATCAACTTGGCATGTCGCTGGCTGAGCGCAGTGTAATTTTCCTGTGTGTCGAGCAGCTGGTTCTGGAGCTCGGCCTCCCGCTCACTCTGGCGATCAAAACGTTCGTTGGTGTTCAAGTTCAGACGGCGAGGACTAGGCTCGCCACGGCTTGCATTGCTGCTGATCTGCTCGCGAAGGAAGGCGATCTCTACCTTCAATCGGTCGATAATGGCCTGCTTGTCGCCTTCCTCAACTTGCTGGATGCGGGGCTTCGACTGAATAGCGCGAGCACGCTGAGCGTATTGAACAGTGTTGAGAGTCTCACTAAGATGGAATTCAGCAGGCGTCACACAAGCAATCATGTAAGTGATTGCATTTCCGCCCAGCGAATCCTGCAGCAAGCGGGTGAGCTTTGAATCACGGTAAGAGACATGGGACCCAGCCTGTCTCGACGACAGCTGGCTGATGACCTTGCCAAGCGAGGCCAAACCGGCGTTGATCGAGATACCTTCCTTGGCCCTCTCGCCATGAGCGCCAGTGTTCTTGAGCCTTTCGCTACCGGCCAAATCCACAAAGTGCAACTTGCTATCGGTTGTGACGGTGACCTCTTGGCCCGTCATGGACTCAATCGGTACCGAGAAGCGCCTTTCGTTGGTTGAGGTGGGAGAAGACTTATTCTTCCGCTGCACAAGGTTCAGTGAAAAAACGGCGTGCGAACGGGAAGACTTGGCGTTGATGGCGGTAGCATCAGTCTGTCGAATCGAAGAACCGAAATTCAGCGCATTGATGAGATCATCGACGCAGGTAATATCCACCTGACGGAGGCCAGTGAGAATAATGTTGCCCTTTACATCTTCTCGAATCGCGACGTTGCCACGATCGGCCAGAGGGGTTGATTCGGGAACGAGAAGATCGCGCAGCTGCTCGTTGTAGATTTCTACGTATGTTGCCTTCAGAGACCAATCGGCGTCTCCAAGTGTGTTTTGTTGGCCATATCCTCGCGGTGTTCGGAGGTGGGACATGGAACTGCGGTTGGAAGGCTTGACGGGAACGGCAGCCTTGCTGACGTCGAGCGTCTCGAACAATGCCTTGGCGGCACGGGGAATGACACCTAGAAAAGTCAGAAGGGGCATAGATATATTACGGGGTTGGTTTAAAAACTCACCCATGATCTCTTCGTCATGCTGCTCCAAGGGACCAGAGGTACCCATGGTATAGGATTTACCAGCACCAGACTGTCCGTATGCAAGCAGTGAGACATTGTAGCCCTGGGTAAAGGCGCTGATGGATTCGCTCAAGTATTCCCAAACGCCGTCTTGGTTCACATCCGAGCTGAAAACGCGATCAAAGACGAATAGCTTCTTGCCCTGGGGAGAGTCGATGGCCAGACTGGTATTCGAGGTGGTCTGCACCATGGATCGTTGGAAGCGTTGAGGAATAAGCTCGTAGCCGGGGTCCGTTGGCTTCAACGGCGGTCGAACGCGGACAGCTAGAAAGAAAGACCGTGTTAGCAAAGACAGAGATCCCTTGAAAAGTTCCTACAGCGCAGGCACCCACGCGATGCGAAGCGATGCGACGGAAAGCACAACACGTACCAACTTTGACCGCGGTCCGGCTCTCCTCATCAGAGGCCCTACTCCCTGTAGCGACAGTCTTGCCGCCTGTCATGCTCAATCGGCTACTACTTCTGTTCGCTGGTCGCGCGATAGCACTGGCAGGTCGTTGTCCGCCGCCCTGCTGAGGGGAGGTCGGAGGCGAATTCGTCGTCATGTTGGCAACCGAACTGATGTTCGCCGGGGATTCAGGAACGGTTGTGGAGGGCGTTCATTCAATGGCAGCGGCGAGGCGCGAAACCAAGTACGTTCGCGATTGCTTCGATCCCTGCCCGAGGGTGGTTGGAGTATCGTCAGACAGTCATAAAGTGCGCTGCCGGGGGGATGGATGACGGCGCGGGACTATTGTCGGATGGGATTCCCTTGTCTTGTCGGTGCCAGACTGCAGAGGCGGCTTTGCTACCTGACGCGTCGAGATCTTGAAATGCGCGATCTCAGAGCAGCGACGACTGGGTGGTTTGGAGGACTGGACTGGACTGGACTAGAGGAAGGGGCGGATCAAGGAGGGTGTCGACGCAAAAGGTGTGTGGCCCGCTCAGGGTCGTCTCTGGGCTTGGGAGTGGCCCGTGGGAATGAGATAGAACGTGTGGGGTGATTTTTAATTAAATTCGCGTCGAGCCAGCGGCGTGAGACTTGCTGCAACCTAATCAATAAGAGGGACCGCGTGTTTGAAGGAATACTTCCTGCGACTCCTCCCGGCTGCTCGAAAAGGCGATAGGTACAGACGAAACCTGGGCCTGGGAAAGGGACTGAGCCAGGAGGGAAAGGGAGTACCCGGTCGGTCGTATGTATGTAATCTAATGTAGCGACCCGAATATGGACTTTTGGACAAGGTTGGGGGGGAAGCAAAAAAAGGGGAGCCGGCCAGGATGCGATGGGATTTGACAGTGCTAGAGGGAAAAAAAATCCAGGGGCAGCCATCTGGCAAGGTCCCCACCAGCTGGCCGACAGGGAGCTGCTAATGGCCGCTAGTCACAGAATGAACAGTGCACATAGCGAGCTGGATGCCATCTTAGTGGTTGGCCAGTGGCAGCAAATTGATGGCATCTCGGGACTGAGCTGATAACCACACATACACGGAACATACCTAGGTACACACTATGCAGTCGGTACCTGCCTGTGTTGGGGTCCCATGCACGAGCGACCCCATATGACAGCAAAAGCAGAGAGATGGCCATTGTAACGCTGGGCCAGCTCCGGACCCAAAGACTGTCACGCTCACTGAGTTCCTCTGCTGTAACCCTAGGTGGTCACTTCACCGAAAGGAGAGCTTCCCAGCCAATCACAGGCCGTCTCAGTCCCCTCATGCTCCAGCACTCGCTAAACGGGTTGGTGCACGGACGTTGATGGCCCCCACTGTGCCACTAAACTGCGGGTGCATAAGGTACCAGAAAGCCACACAGCAAGACGCTCGCTCAGTCTGATGCTAGTCCTCTCCCAGATCCAGGGTCGCATCCCCCGAGGAGCTGTGAAAGAAGAAAAGAATCTACTTAGCACAGTGCCATTCTAGGGGGTGCTCTAGCCTCCCAGCCAGTGGCTGGCGCGAACATGCAGCCCTTTATTCCAGACCCTGCCAGTCCTGGCTGCACCTCAAGCTACCCTGCCCATGCTCGCCTTACCTATCAATAGACACGGACACGGCTTACCAAGCTCCATTATCGTCGTCTCGTCCCTTGCTGGGCTGGACGGCAGCAGCATGATGACCATCCATGATCCAAGACACGTCCATCCGCTCTGCATTGGGCTCCTCCCATGGGCCATCCCTACTCGCTTGCCCTTTAGCGCGCGCTGGGCCATTCATCATCAAGCCGTATCCAGCATCGGGGCACGACGATCAGAACTCATCTTGATGGCGGATAGCATCAACCAACTATGCCGGCGGCCTACAAGGACTGGCCATGTTTTCTCTGCGCCTGTCCTCGATCCTCAATCCAGGAACCGCTGGCGCACAAACCTGCTTGGGCTTAGCCTGCGTCCAGGATGGTGTGGATGCTGGACCAGCCGGGGGCCCGCGCCCATTTGGCTCTGCGAAAGGCTCCCGGCCATTGGACCTGTTCTGTGATTATTGTGGAGGGCCTCACAGACAATCTCGTGCGCGCTCTGAGTCGGTGCCGGGCACTAACCCATCACTTCGCCGTGTTGGGTATTCACACCCAGCCACCCACGACCCGCGTCGGGCAATTGGCGACGAGCTACTGCTTAATAGTAGATCCAAGAGTGCTATCTCAATAGCAACGGCTCCGGGAAGCTCGCACAATAGTCCAGGTCCTCAGATTACTTGGCCCGGCTGACAAAAAACGACACCCACGTTTATCTCCCCTGTCGGCCAACGTTTGATTCCTCCCCCTGGGTCAGCATGGCAAGGTTCCATCCCTTTTTCCTCTTCCTGTCCAATACCGAGCGTCACAGTGTCTTGAGGAATGTGCGGCGCACAGTGTGTCTACCCTCACCACGCTTGTTTCGTTCCCTCGTCCTCTTTTTTAGTGTGGGGAACACACTGGTAAGGTGCTGACCAGAAGAAAAAGCAATTATTCCACGCCACTGTTGGCCTCTGAGCTTAAAGCCATCAAAAAGGAAGTGCTGGCAATGGGGAGGCTTGCCAAACCATCCATCGTCGTTTCAAGTCGTCCCGGCCTTCCGGCACCCTGGATACCCGCCACCTTAGCGCTGGTGGCTGGAGCGTTGTTGTGTGGTGACCACACAGACCATCCATCAAACTACCCAAATTAGCAGTGTGTAGAAGCTTGTAGAGGCCATCACGATGCCATCAGTGACGGACGTCCATAATAGCAAACTTCAAAATGGTTCCAGTATGTCACAATCTAAGCATTTTTCAGGTCCAGGGTCACTCGATTACGACATTTGTCTCTTCGGTTTCAAACTATTTGCTTTTTGTAGAACATGCAGTTCTTCACCGCCGGGCTAGGGTAGAATTCCAGCACAAGTACGTGATGTGTAGATTTGAGACCGATGCCGTAGGCTCGCAACGGTCTGCATAGCTGATCTGAGACGTGCCCACCACTTTAATCAAGTATGTCATCTGAGACCATCCCCACCATTCGAATATTCAATAGAGCTCACCAAGTATGTAGAATTCCATTCATTGGAGGTCTGGGCGATGAGTGTTGATATAGGGTAGGTCCGTAGCTATGAAGGCACTGCCAAGTCTAGCGCCAATCACGTGACGACGTGTAAGTGTCCCGCTCTTGGTTGCAAACGAAGAACGCGAAGTGGTGGTTGATATCCGATAAGCGTCAACCTGCACCATGGACCAACTCCCTCCATGAGTCCAGGCGTCCACGACCCACGATGGCACGGGAAGTCATTGACTTGATCTCATCAAGTCCGCCACCGCCCCTGAAGTCATCGTCGCCTCCTTTGTTTGTCGATGACACCGTCCCGAGCGGTCAAGGGACAGAGCCCTGCGTGAGCCAACCGCATGAGGTGGATCTGGAATGCTTATCCGACGAGTTCGACACTACAATTGATATTGACGAGTTGATATCACTCCCTTCATTCGACAAAAGCTCCTACGCAAATCAGACACACAATACCACATCCAAACAACAATTGACCCATATCTCGATCGAAACGGCGGACGCAACGAGGCAGCGGATCATCCAAGAAACAATCATCGACATTCATAGTGATGATTTTGGCAGTGCGAGCGACAATGACGAACCAAGAGTATACGAGTCAACGAGCAACGGCAACAAACGAAGACGAGTGTCTGACTGGGTGAACCCGAAAGATCCCCCGACACTGGAGCACAGCGACCCGTTCTACTCGTCCCAGAAGGAGGCGCCATCGGGTGGTAATCAGGATAAATGTTCTCACTCTGCCAACGGTCCTGTCGAGATATTGAGCTCCCCGGAACGGCCACCTACCGCACGGAGCAAGCTGGGACTGCCCTTAACGACCATCGAAAACCCACCCACGACATCATTTAGGACGAGTTTCCAGAGCAGCCCAGACCCGTTCAAGAGCCCGATACCACAGCACATACCCTGTTCCAATCCACCACTGTCACATGCACCTAAGCATGTAGAGTCGTCGGACCCCTTTGCCAGTTCTCCCCGCGAGACATGTGCCAAGGAAAATGCACCTAAGGCTGCTCGCTTTCCAGACATTGAAATTGTTAGCAGTGCGCCGAGCCCACCACGTTTTACATCGAACACGGCATCGAGACGGGATTGGGACCCCATCTCAAGCTCAGCGCCCGAGATAGGATCGCATGCATTGCCAGACGTACGGAGGCAGAAGGCTACGGCAGAGGTTACAATTTCAGTAGATTCTGATTCGTCAGTCCATGGATTTGAAAGCGAGTCGGATGAAGATGAACTACCTGATATCACCCAGCTGATAGCAGCTCCCCGGAAACGATCCTCCCTCCACCGATCATACAGCGACAATTTCGCCTCGAAGAGCCGTTCGAAAGCGTCGAAACCTACAAAGTCTACGGCTGAGAGGGCCCGGGAGCGTGAGACGAAAGCAGCGGCCACGGCTGCCGAGAAGGCCCGGAAGCAACGCGAGAGGGAGCAAGATAAAGCGGCCAAATCGCGCGACAAGGAACGAGCGGCTGCCCTGGCCGAGGTCAACAAGATACGCACGGATAAGAAAATCTCAACTCCTGAAATGCTTGTCGACCTGTCGGCGAACCTGAACCCGACGACGAGGACGCAAGTGGAGCCTCTTCTGAAGGCACTGGACGTGGAATTCTCAACATGGGAAAGCCCAGTGGACAATGTTATCAAGTGGAGGAGGAAAGTCACCAGTCGGTTCAACGAAGATCTGGGCCACTGGGAACCTGTCCCTCGACGCATTCAGAACGAGAAGCATGTTGCTGTAATCGTACTGGCTGACGAATTCGTTCAGCTCGCCCTCAGCGGCGGGTTGGATGATCATGTCTCCAAGATGACGGAACACTTCCCAAACCACCAACTCATCTATCTCATCGAAGGCCTTCATGTGTGGATGCGCAAGAACCGCAATACTCGGAACAGGCAGTTCGTTTCCGGCGTGCGCGTGCAGGAAGGTGCTGCTCCTTCCAGTAGCAGGCGGAGAAACGCACCGGCTGCGGAATATGTGTCGGAGGAGACGATCGAGGACGCGCTCTTGCAGCTGCAGGTGATGCACGATGCTCTCATTCACCACACCACGATACCGCTGGAGACATCGCAGTGGATCACAGTGCTCACGCAGCACATATCTACAATACCGTACCGGAAGCAGAAGGACCAGGCGACAATGAATGCGGCATTCTGCATGGAGTCTGGTCAGGTTCGCTCGGGGGACAACCCCAAGGACACCTATATTCGCATGCTACAGGAGATTTCTCGCGTAACAGCACCTGTAGCATACGGCATCGCGGCTGAGTTTGGCACTGTTTCTGAGCTCGTCAACGGCTTGGAAAGCGGAGGAGCAAATCGGCTGGAAGCAGTGAGGAAGAGCGCCAACAAGGACGGGGTCATGTCTGATCGAACAGTCGGCCAAGCCCTGAGCAAGAGGTTGCATAAAGTTTTCACGGGACGGGATGAATCAAGTACAGATGTTTAGAATATTTTAAATTTCCTCTACATTTTAACAAAACGCTATGAAAATTTATCTCAATACAACGCCGTGTCCCTTTCTAGTTTGGAGGAATGGATGCACTAAATCTTTTTAAACAGTTAGCCACTGCAACATGAACAGTAGTTGAAGAGGAAAAAAGTGTTAAGGGTAGCATGTCAGACAGCGGTTGGACAAAGTTGTTTCCACATGATTGTTTTCAGAACAGGTCTGTGAATAAATTGCTTTTTCATCATAATGCGTGGGGGAAGGTGGTGTTCGAGAAATAGAAAAGATAAAACATACCATTGGGAATCTATTGCGGGGCATCGGAAACATCTGCCTTCTTGGGAGCGAGAAACGAGTCAATCGTCTTCTGCTTCTCGTCGAAGGCAGCGCTGCCAATGCCGCCGCGGGTCTTGTGCAGACCTGTAAGGTGATCAACCGAATTGATACGCTCGATTTGAAGCTTCACCGACGACCAGTCTGCCGCAGCAGCAGGGGTCACCTCAGCTTCAATGTAGCCAGTGTTGCTCCATACAACGAGCGCGGGTACGTCGTTGATGTATGCGAAGGGTGGGTGGCCGCCCTCGGCCTCTTTAGTCACGGCGACGGCACCACGGGGGAGGTGCTCGCCGAGACGACGGAACAGGACACTAAGAAGGATGCCGTGAGCGACAATGACAACGGGGATATCGTTCTGGGGAGTCAAAAGTGGGAGCAATTGATCCTTGAGGAACCTGTCCACCCTAGCCCGCATGTCCTCTTGCGTCTCGACACCCACCAAGGGCTGACCAAGGGTGTACTTGGTGCCCTCGCCACTGCCAAAGTGCTGCTCGCGGAGCTCAGGCAGCTGCAGAACCACCTCATCCTTCCCCCTCGCGTCGCAGATGGACTGGGCCGTCTTGGCAGCGCGCTGCAGGTCGGACGAGAAGATGTGGATTCCGCTGCTGGCTGGCAGGCGCTCGGCAAGGTACGAGGCGAGGCGCTGGCATTGGGACACGCCGTGCGAGGTCAGGGCGCAGTCGCGCGAGCCCGAGTAGAGCTGAGCAACATTGTCCACGGTCTCGCCGTGACGGATCAGGTAGAGCCGCATGGTTAATGTCTTTGACCCTAGGGAGGTCGCAGAGATCTTCCTGTTGGCATCACCTGTCGCTCACGGGAGAGGACAAGCAGCTCGCACAGCAGAAAAGGCTGTGTTGATGAACGAGGCTAAGAAGAGTGCAAAGTCAGAGAATTTTTCTGGTGCTCTTTATGGTGGGGAGAATACTGATAAAGTGGTATGTGCGATTGACGCATAAGGCCCACATTATGTATTTACTGGATTTCATGCAGTTATTGGTGGACTTCACTGGCTGTTTAACCTAGACACATTGGAGCAGAACTTTTAAGCAAAAGAAGTCATTATAATTGCTTGCAAGATCCAAAGAAAGCAGATTAAAATACAGGGCCATACACTATTGGAAATTCAAAATAACACGCAAACCAATTGTCCATTTCTAAAAGAGAATTCCCTTCTTCTTACCACCATCCTTCTTGTCCTTTCCGAGCAGCGCATCATACGCACTTCCGAGTCCGAGACTGCCCAAAATCTTGTTCAGTCCGAGGCCGCCCAAGATGTTATCAACCAGGGGAGCAAGGCCAAGACCGCTCAGCTACACGAGATGTTAGAATGGCTATATCAATTGATACAATGATGGACTTACCAGTCTGCCAACGAGGCCTAGAACACCGTTGAGAAGCAAGCCAACGGCGGCGAGAATCTGTCCCAAAGGCTCCATCAAGAGTCCCCAAAGAGGGTTGAGCTCCTTCTTGGCATGAGGCATACCCTCAATCTTGCGCTTGGCGTTGTCGATTGTCTGGGTGACGGTGCCGGTGAGCTGATGACATGTGTTAGTTGGTTCTCAGTTCGGATTTGTGTTCGATACATCTCAACATACCTCTTTCAGCTGCTCTGCCAGATGATGCTCCTCTGGGGTAGCTTCCCTAGTTCCCGATCTCTGCTTGGCCTGACGCTGAATGCGGCCGTCAGGATCAAGACCACGAATCATGCCGTTGGTCTCACTCAAGATCTTGCCGCCTTCCTCAATCAAAGGCTTGACCTCCCGGACCAGAGCCTCTTCGTCAAGGTCTTCCTTGGGAGTACGCTCTGCGCTGTCGATCTTGTCTGTGATCAACTTGCACAAAGGTCGGATCTTGTCCAGGGACTGCTCAATGCATCCGCCGAGCTGTCCAGCAAGCTTCCTGTCTTTTTCGTCTTCCGCCTTTTGCTTGGCTTCTTCCTCACGAGCCTTTCTCTCCTCTTCAGTCTCCACATGCTCCGGCTCAGGCTCAGGAGGAATGTTCTCAAGAAGAGATACATGGCCAATGGTGTGGCCCTTGGCGTTGACAACATCGCCATCGTCATCAACCTCCTTGCCTGAGCAGATTTGAAGATCACCACTGACAAGTTTGCCAATGATGTTGCCATCGTCGTCGACAACATTACCTTCGCGGTTCACTCGTCGGCCAGCGAGAGGATCCTTCTTCTTCTCAACCTCAGGCTCCTCCCATCGTTCAGCCTTGCCAAGGACGTTGCCATTTCTGTCCATGATATCACCGTCTTCATCAACTGATCGTCCGGCGAGAACCTTGGGATCTCCTGAGATAAGTCTGCCTACCACATCTCCAGCTGCAGTCACGACCTTGCCGTCTTTGTTGACAGTAAGACCCGAGAGCTCTGCAAAAGGACCGTCCTTGGACCCTTCGCGCTCGCCCTCGGAAACAATTTCAGCCTTGCCGATAATGTCACCAGACTCGCTGCGCACATTACCTTCCTTGTCGCACATGCGGCCAACAAGATTGGCAACATTTCCTTCGATGACACGGCCATAGATGACGCCAGATGAGTCAACGACATTGCCTCTCTTGTTGACACGCTTTCCGGCGAGGCAAGAGCGGTCAACTACCTTCTCAGCCTCAGCTTCTGGCTCATCCCAAGGCTCGGCCTTGCCAACGACATTGCCGTTTCGGTCAAGGATGTCTCCATCCTCGTCGACCTTGCTGCCCTTCAGGCGCTTGGGATCGCCTTGAACGACGACGCCGACTTGGACGCCATCAGAGGTCACACGACCGTCTGCTTCGACAATGGCATTAGGGAAATTCTCAAATGGTGCAAAGTCCTTCTGCTCATCACGATCGCCCGTAGTCAGAGGCTCGCCCTTGCCGATGATCTTGCCACTGCTATCCCAGATGTCGCCGTTCTCGTCACAAGTCCTGCCTTGGAGCTGCTTGATGTTGCCCTCGATAACCTTGCCAACAACTTCACCTTTGGAATCAACCAGATTGCCAACCTTGTTGACCTTGGCATTCTTGAGAGAGCTGGTGTCAGTCTTTTCTGGCTCTTCCTCTACTGGGACATCTTTCTCCTTTGCCTCGGCCTTGCCGACAACGTTTCCGTTGCGGTCAAGAATATCACCGTCCTCGTCGACCTTGCTGCCCTTAAGACGCTTGGGGTCGCCTTCGACGACGATACCGACCTGCTCACCCTTGGAGGTGACACGGCCGTCAGATTCAACGACGGCATCAGGGAAGTTTTCAAATGGAGCATAGTCCTTGTGGTCATCGCGCTCAGCCTGAGAAATGGGCTCGCCCTTTCCGACAATCTTGCCGGAGTCGTTCCAGATGTTGCCCTCTTCATCTGCCTTCTTTCCAAGGAGCTGCTTGACATTGCCTTCGATAACACGGCCGACCATCTCGCCCTTGTCATTGACGAGATTGCCAACCTTATTCACCTTGGCGCCCTTGAGGATGGTGTAGTCCAGTTTCTCAGCTTCCTCTCCCTCCTCTCCCTCCTGTGTCTCGCCTGCTTGGGATTCTTCTCCCAGAGCCTGCTCCTCACCTGCTTTGGATTCTTCTCCCAGAGCCTGCCCCTCACCGATGGTTTCCGGGACATCAGTGCCAGCTACCTGGCTCTTGTCGGCGCTTGCATCAGTCTTACCGCCCAGTGTCTTCTGATCATCCTCGCGATCTTCGAGAGCTACGGGACCGTCCTGCGATCCTTCAATTCGGGACTCGCCAGCTTCAGTGCGAAGCTCGTCTGGGACTTGCGAGGGAGCGTCCCCAGCCTCTGAAGGGAGGTTTGGAACTTCGGATTCGGCATCGCGCTGGCTCTTGTCACCTACTTGGGAGCCCTCAGGTACCTCTGAAGGAGCATCAGCGCCTTGTGACAGAGCAGTTTGGGAGACTCCAGACTTGGCACCCTTGAAAGATTCGCCAGCCTCGGTGCGCACATCCTCTTCTGGGACTTCTGAAGGAGCATCACCGGCCTGCGAGGGTGAGACGTCGGGGACTTCAGACTGGCCGCCCTTCAGAGACTCGCCAGTTTCGGTGCGCTGATCATCTGCGGGTGATTCTGATGGCGCGCCCTCGCCCTGAGATGGAGGAGCCTTAGAGGCTCCGGACTTCGCGCTCTTGAGAGACTCACCAGCCTCGGTGCGTACATCCTCTTCAGGGGCTCCTGAGGGAGCGCCGCCAACCTGTGAGGCAGGGACGTCGGGGACTTCAGACTGGTCACCTTTTTGAGATTCGCCAGCTTCCGTGCGGGACTCATCTGCGGGTGCTTCGGAGGGAGCGTCTTCGCCTTGAGAGGGAGGAACCTTAGAGGCTCCAGACTTGACGCTCTTGAGAGACTCTCCGGCCTCGGTACGAACATCTTCAGGAGCTTCGGAAGGAGCTCTGGCACCCTGTGAAGCAGGGACGTCAGGGACTCCGGATGGGCCGCTCTTGAGAGATTCACCAGCTTCCGTGCGGGACTCATCTTCAGGAGCCTCCGAGGGTGCGATGGCACTCTCTGGGGGAGGGTATTTGAGATTGGGGTCATCAGCTTCGGTGAAGGAATCATCTTCAGGTTTAGGTGGGACATCGTCTAGATCAGCTTTGGATCTTGAGACTAGATTTGGCTGGCCGGCTTCCGATAGAGCGGGTTGTGATGTAGCGGCCTCTGACTTGTTTGCTTGCGTTTCAGTTTCGGCCTTTTCGACTTCTGGAGCATCAGGAGCTGCCTCCTGTCCGGCGTCGCTCAAGTTCTTCTTGCTACGGCTGAATGATCCAAGGCCTTGCTTGACGAGGCTGGAAGCCGAACTGAAGAAGCCGCCGGTAGACTTTGCGTCCTCTTCCTGGACCTTGGGGCTTTCCGTGGCCTCTTGTTTTCCAGTAGTGTATTCCTTCTCCTTGTCATCTCCAAGAGATGCGCGTCCGACGGTTTCGCCAGCGTCGTCGACGACATCTCCAGCAGCTGTGACTGTGTTGCCGACCAATGATCGGGCATCCTCGGACTCGGCAAGCTTGCCAATCGTCCTTCCCTCATGATCGATTATTAGTCCGGAGTCGCTCACAAGGCCCGTAGCGGATCGAGGGATGGCTTCGGCTGAGCAATGTTAGTTTCTAAAGCTAAGACTGTATAGCGTGGTCACGTACTTGGATCGGACCTCTCTTGTGCCGGGGTGTCTCTAGGTGTTTCTCTTGGCGTGTCTTTTTTCCATCCCCCAGGGATGGACATTGGATTATTGCTCGACATGGTATTTGGTGTTTTCAAAGGTATTGTGTTCTACTTGGGTATAGTAGAACTGGGTGGTGTATAGGATCTTCGTGATTCACGGTATGAGCTACGGACACTGTTATATACATGTTTCTGGTTCTCAAATCAAGCTTCAACCACAAGCTGAAAACTCACGCAGCGAGTGTCTCAGCGCCTTCAGACGTCACAGCATAAACGCATTACACGTCCAATAAGCATGTGCTTCACAATTTTCAACTCTTTAAGCTTTCCTTAGACGTCATCTTAATGAGTTTCTGGGAAGCAATACCAAGGAGAAACAGCCTTCGCCCTCGAATGACGCCGTCTTTGACGCCACCGCTCACTCCCGTAACAAACTAATGCACAACATCACTCTAGGTCGGCTCTAGATGGGCTCAAACAAGGACCTCAGAGTAGGGGTCTCCCGAGTGATGATATCAGGAAGCTTTCCAGGGTTCTCCGCTGCAGGCATACCCTTGGCTCGCGGAGTGTCGATCCCAGAATCCGGTGGGCGGGATCGAGATTTCCTACGCTACCTTGACATCAACGTGGCTGGGAGGCCTACTTCAAAACAGGTTTTCCACGCAAGGATCACGCAGCCATTGCCCACAGACCACCCCACTGCCCCGTAGACTTGCGAGGCGCTATTACGAATCGTGGGATCTGCTTTGGCCTCGTTACATCCGCTCCAATGTCGTGCATGCGAACGCACTTCGTGTGGACTTTAATTATATGCGTATTTTAGGAACTCTGGAGCTTTTCTATGTATTCCCTGCCCGAACCCATTTGAACGCCTAAACCCTTAACGCTGATGCTATTCCGCAGATCGGTTCACTGATGGCTGCTATCGCCATTTTCCCTAGGGCGATCCTCATATTTCACCCTTTCCTCCTCCGTCTTCTCCTTGTCATGCTCTGCACAGTCGTGCTCCCTGTTAAATATGGTGGGTATCTTTATAATGATCTGGATGCCGTCAAACGTCGACTTCACGTCCAGATATATCTCCGACGGGTTGGGCGCAGACGCCGGCTTGGGCGGCGGAGGGGGAGCCTCAACCCTCTGCTTGGCCGGCCAGGAGCTCTTGGCGTCCTTGTTGGGCGGCTCGTTGAGCTTCCCGATGACCGCCCCGTCCTGGTTGTAGATGTTGCCCTCCCCATCCACCTGTAGCCCGTTGCCGAGCTCCTGCCGCTCCGGCTGGATGTAGTTGTCCGAGACGTAGCCCACGACGTCGCCGTCCGTGTCCAGAATCTCCCCGTTCTGAGACACGGGACGGCCGACCATGGACGGAAGATCGCCCTCGACGCGGCCGAGGACTGTGCCGTCCCAGTCTAGGACGTTGCCGAACTCGTCGACGTACCTGCCCTCGAGGCCCTGCGCGAGGGTCTCATGTCGTGGCTTGGGCGGCGGGGGGTCTTCGCTTCCCGGCGGGTCATATCGTAGGGACCCCGTGGGGACGATTCTTGGTATGGGCGTGATCTTGGGTGGTGGTTTGTTGTTGCTGGATGATGGCGATGAAGAGGCTGGTTGTTGTGAGGATGTAGGCGGGGAGGAAGGTCTAGATGCTTGTTTTGGGCGGTCTGCTTCGGCAGCCTTGCGGTATGGCACCTCGAAGATGTGCGTCGAGTGCGTCTGGCGATCGGGAGGGGGCGCCGAGGGCCCTGGCTCGCCTGCTGAGCCTCCCCGCGACGGAGAGGGCTGGGCTGAAGAGCGGTTGGACGTCATGTCAGCTCCGGATGGGCAGTGGGGGGCGGGGGCGTGATTATTGCTATCGGGAGAGTGATTGTTTTGATTGTTGGATTTGTCGGGAGAAGAGGGGGAGGGGGAGAGCGAGGGCGAAGGAGAATCAGACCATGGTCTTGGGGTTGGAGGTTGGGATTGAAATCGCAAAGATCGACCTGGTCTGGGCGGGGGGTGGGAGCAGGGCCAGGAAGGACATCCGGATTGTCGTATGGAGGATGAGGAGGGGTTTGGGTGTGAGAAGCTCGTGGTTTACGGGAGTGTATGCCGTCATCCTGCTTGAATGAGACTGAGCACTGACGCTACCTTGAACAGGGGTAGAGGCTTGGTTGTGATCGTGATCGGAGTTTTGGACTGGCGATCGAGGAAGATCCTCCAGCTGGTTTTCTTGACAGCCCACTAGACGGCTTTAGAAGACTGCAAACCAAGGCACAGATGCAGGACAGGGATCAGGGGTCTCCTAGCCTCCCTGCTTGATACACCGGCGCCGTTGAGACGGCTTGGAATCTAATATCTCCACAGCGGCAGCTCAACCCGCTGTGGGGAAGTTTGAGCTGGAGCTTGAGCAGTACAGAGCCTAACAAGGTGCGTGTAGCTGGTTTCTGGTTGAGAGTTGGCGATGTCACAGGCTGGGCGTTGTGGTGATCTGCCAAGGCGACTCGAGCTGGACTCGACCTACGGGAACACGACGTTGCGGATTCTTTGTGTTACACGAGGGCTTCTGTCACTTTTGACGGGACACCCACTTAGACCTCATCCAACAGTTGGGCTGGTCATCTGAGACACACGGCTGTTGTACGCACACACCTGATGACATAACCGAAGCACGCGATGAACGAACAACGCAGAGGTGAATCCAATTTCATTTTATCAGTCATCTCATCTCTAAACCGTAGATTTTGCTCGTAGCGACAAAGAAAATAAAGTACACTGGGCGCAGTCCAAAATAAATAATAAAACCGTGTCCTCCCGTCGGGTTGAAGCATCCCGCAAATTAACTCCGTTAAGCTTCCCTTGTAATTCGAATTAATCAGCATCTTAGTGTAAACAGCATGATTTGGGGTCTCAGTTTCTGCATGTCGGCAAGGAAGCGGAAAAGTATTATTAGCCTTTGATGAAATGTCCGAGGTTTCAAAACGCGGCTGCACGTTTTGTTTGACTGTTGGGGTTGGATATATATGTGTTGATTGCTTCATCCAGTGCTGTGGAAAGGGTTCACGTAAGAGAATGATTGGCCAAAGTGTGTCGCGAGGATGAGGGGAGGAGTGATTTACTTTTACACGTCTCTTGATGAAGAGATGAGCGCTCGAAATCAGGGGTCTGGATGAAGAGGAACAAAGGGAAGAGAGTGAATGCAGATATTACGTACAGGAGAGCGAGTTCGAGGTCACCGTGGATCCTCGCCTTGAGCTGGATCTCAATTTCCAGATTCAAGTCCAGGCGCAGCTTCAGAGTGTCACTCTTGCCGCCGCCGCCTTGTTCTTGGGGCTGCTGCATCTGCTGTTGCTGTTGCTGTTGTTGCTGCTGCTGCTGTCGCTGGTAGTCCACGCCCTTGAGAGCACTGCTTGAGCCGCTGGACTTCTGGAGCGCCTTCTTGCCCTTGCGGGTCTTCTTTTTGCGAAGAGGAGTGGTCTCCTCGGCCGAAGCGCTGTTGTTGCTGGCGTCCTCGTCTGCCGACTCATTTGCGGCATCGACGTGCTCCTTGGGCTTCTCCATGGTAGGGGGTGCCATTGTGGATTAGTTTTTTTTGATGTGCTAGTGGGTTTAAGCGATGAATTGGATTTGCGAGTGGTGGAGGGGATAGAGAAGTAAAACAGGATGTAGGTCGACTGATATGGTCTAAGTTTGTGTAGTGTTCAGCAACTGAGCAGTCGTCGGTTTTATTCCAAGCACACAGTATTCTGATGAGACGCCATTTGCTCATGACCCCATCATATCCTGTTTCCTCCCTGCAGGACCCTTGATACCGAATGAAGTCATAGCCAGATCGATCGCTCGCTGCCCGCGGTGGATGAGGGCATAACCACACCATCCGGACAGGGCAAGACGTTTCCTTGCCACACCACGGGGTTGTCAAGAATGACCTGACTGACCTTGCTACAGCTAGTGACTGGCCGGATCTCAAGCCCCTGTCGCTTTGGCTGCCTCGAGTGTGTCCATCCATACTCCATCCCATCTCCGGCTGTGGATGGTCGAGCTCCACCAGTATCGAAGCTATGACACCATAACTAAGTAAGCGCCGCCTCATATGCAGGGGGACCAAGGCAGGCCGAGAGAGACTGTTCTTCTCTGGGAATAGAACAGAAAGTCTGGCATTTTCAGGGAACGCCGTTGGTCTTGAATCTTGGCTGCAATTACGCGTCTTCCACCCACCGCATTTGCAACAAAACCGGTTCTCCCTGATTGCATATTGTTGACCGTTGATATACGCTACTGTAGAAACTAATTGTACACTTGACCGACTGGGGAATGACCGTAAATAACACCTGTTTTAACTCTTGACAAACCGGCTATTCACACCCTGCTGCACTCTCCTCCGCAGCCTCAACCGCAGGCAGTCCTCCATCTTGTGCTCCGGGTCCCAGTACACGCAGAACCTGCCCTGCCCACCCTCCTCCCGCTTCGCCACAAACGGCTCGTAGTCCTCCTTGAGCGTTAGTAATTCCTCGTCGTCGCTCCAGTACCACGGCCCAATGACGTGGTCCACCGTGTCCTTCCTGGCGCCGTGCCGCACCTGGCCAGTGTCCTTGTCGATGTATATCCAGTTGAGCGCCGGCGGGTCCACGGAGATGCTGCTCACCAGCCCCAGGTGGCCCTCCTCGCTGGGATACTTGAAGTACCAGCCGTGGAAGCGGTGGCCGGGCGCGGGATAGTCTGGTAGGTCGATGAACATCTGGGTGGTTGGTGTGTAAGCTGCTTTGTACCATGATCCCTCACCTCGCCCCCCGTGTAAGTCATTTTCTTACCTGGTTGTCGGCTAGGGTGCAGAACGCACCCTCCTGATACTCGCCGCCGAGTTTTATCAAAGCTGTGAGATGGAATTTGACCTGGTCTTTGGCTGCTTGCTGCTGCCGCTGCTGGGCGCTGATGGCATTGCCCACTCCGGCCACGGTGGGAATGGCCGTGAGCATGAGGAGCCCGATTACCATGTTGTTAGGCTAGGCAGAGAAATACTACTTAAAGCAGTAAATTGTGGGAAAGGACGTGAAATCGATTAATTGAATAAACAGAATTGCTTTGAAGAGATGGATTATTGACGATGGAGAGGCTAGCTGATGGGCATCGAGAAACCCCCGTTCTAGAAGGATTGAACACCCGCCTTCTTCTCCCAAGCCACCCCCACAGCAGCTCATGACGTTGCTCTACCAAGTCTGGGCGTAATCTGCCAGGCCAGAGGGTTGCAGATGCCTGCCTGCATGCTGCAGCTTTGATCATTCCGCAGGAGGTTCAGCGCACACAGGGCTGGACAGGGGGCAGGGATCTGTGCCCACACCGGCGTCATCTAAACAGCGGGGGTATGGGAACTCGCTCTCCAGCATCCCGGTCTGTCTGGCGTCATAGAAGACCTGAGGAAGCTGAGGAATTTTGGTGTGTTGCGTGAGCTTCGAGGACGGGATCGTGATGAGGCGGGCGCGTTTCGAACACGCCCTCCCCTCCACCCCGTTGTTTGGCGACCCTGGCTAAACCGGTTGCCGCAGGGTCTGATATCACTGATCGCGCGGGAGGAGGATCTGTTGCGTCACTGCTGGGCACCCTGTAAGAAGAGGAAATCAAGGCCACGGGTACAGGTCGAGAGGATTCACAAAAGGGCGTTCGTGCCTGCGCGGTCTATACATGCATCTAGCGTTATATTCATCTAGTATATTAATTTCTTCACGTAATTTTGTTCAAAGACACTATCATCGAGCTTCCTAGGCACACACACCCTACCAAAGGATAAGGCAACTACAACATGGCATCTGTAGGTTTATAGTAGAAAGTAACCTCACACCTGACACCAAGCTAACACTATCATTGTAGCAAGCGAATAACACGGCTGATAAGCTGCCACAAGACCAGAGCAACCCCGGCTCAAACAACTTTGATAAGCCCCAGCAAGACAACCAGACCCTCGACAACAAGGGCCAGAATGTAGGGAACAACGACGAGGAGTACGACTCGGGCGCCGACTTCCAAGACGCCGAGGGCGATAAGGAGAATGCGGGACAGGGCGGAGAGAACTTCCCTACACCTGAGCCAACACCCAAAGGGAAGAAGGGTGACGGAAAGAAGCCCGGCGAGAAGAAGGATGAAGAAAAGAAACCCGAGGAGAAGCTTGGAGAGCAACCTGGGGATAAGCCTGAGGACAAACTAGAGAAGCCCGAGGATAAATCCAAGGACAGTCTAGAAAAGCCTGAAGACAAGGCAGAGAAGTCCGAAGAGAAACCCAAGGACTCTCTAGAAAAGCCTGAGGAGAAGGCTGAGGAGAAGCCCGAAGAGAAGCCGGACGTGAAGCCTGAAGAACAAGCCAAGCCGGAGACTGCAGAAAAGTCCAAGGAAGAAGTTACGTCGAAGCCTCAGCCTCAGCCTCAAGTCAACGATGAGGAAGAAGAGGAAGATGACGATGACGAAGAGGACGACGATGAAGATAGCGACGAGTACGACGAAGATGACGATGAGGATGATGTAAGCGAAGAAGAAGATGACGACGAGGATGAAGATGAGGAGGAAGACGACTCTGAGACGGAGAGCGATGACGAGGAGCCGTCCACCCCCAAGCACGAGCAGCAGATGCTCGCCCAGCGCAGACAGCAGCAGCTCCAACAACAGCAACAACAACAGAAACAGGTACAGAAGCAGGACAGCGGCGGCAAGGACGACGCCCTCAAGCTGCGCCTGGACCTGAACCTGGAAATTGAGATTGAGCTCAAGGCCCGCATCCACGGTGATCTGACCCTGGCATTGCTGTAAGTCACCCCTTGCCCCGATTTCGAATGCCGGCTTTCGAGCTGACCTAACAGTGACAAATCTTAGTCAGTAGATATTTGAGCGACTGCGAGAGAGCAGACTGGACATGGTGGAGGGAACCTCAGCGAGGATTAGGACGCTGGACGACTGACTTTTGGCGTTCTTGGCTGGTTTTGTTGTTTCAAGTGTATAAGAAGGGTAATGGGCACACCTCATCATGTATTATGAGCTCATAAATTTGGTATAATTTCATATGTTCAATAGCAAAAAGGATCATGTTCTTACTCCTTAGTTCATGGGCACAGGCCATCGCAAACTTCGTTTGTAACTACCTGTGATAATATATAGAAGGCCCTGAGAATTGAAGCGGACGACATCACTTTTATTTGAGAATATTTGCAATAGGATTTGATGTCTATTGCACACGTCATGTCTGGGCCAAGAGTCCTGCTACAAGACATATCCGTTCATATCATGCACCAGATATTCGATGGCATGGCCAATGGTTAGAAGGTTCAGGTTGATGTTACAGCGGATGTAGTGGCCATTAAACCCCCTGGATTCAGATCTACAGGGGAACTGGTCGCTGTCTGGGGGTTCATTAGCGGCATCACACTTGTGTAACCGCTAGAACTCGCACCAACATTTGCTGCTACACAGTTAATCAGTAATTGCCAAAGCATCGCATTGTATAGAATCCCATGGTGAAACGGATAATGAGGCTGATATTGGGTATGACCACTTGGCCGAACGTGACTAATTGTAGTCCAACTGATGATGAGCCAAAAAGGCTCATGCAAATGATCAGCCGGTCAAACCTCAGCCAGAGGGCGAAATCGGCCTAGCCTTCGGAAGGAATGCGTAGCAGGGTAGGCGACCTCGCGAATTGCGTGCTTGATACCAAGGTACCTGGTGGAGGCTGCGAGGGCTTCGGTAAGGTATCCAGCCTTGGTTGCCAGACAGAGATAGGTCTGTATCTTCAAGCTCTCCGAGCCATGTGAAAAGCTGACTTCGGTGGGTGGGTGCAAACACCAGGCATCTCTCCTGGTGTGGGGTAACCGAGTTTGCGCATCTGCGATGTGTCGCGAGATGGGAATTAGGCTGGAATCCAATGCATCAGAGCATGTGTGAGAAGGCATCCAGCCATTGAGAGGGACGGGTGGGTGGTAGCCGTCGGCAGCGCATCGAGTTGCATCGACTTGGCCCGTTTGGGGTTCCGAGGCGACCAGAACAGCAACGGCCATTCCACGAAAGGGAGCAGAATCTGCAGCGGCGAGGTTTAATTCCCAGGGCGCAGGACGGCCTTGTTTGAAAAAAAATATCTGGATGCCGCCCGGCGCCTGACGACATCGATGACTCGACGCCAGGCGATGGCCAGTTCCCTTCAGATGGAGGTCCGTTATCGCGTGCTGTAGCTGCTCTTATCAGGTGCCGACATCGCCAGCGCTTAGTGAGTCGCAGCAGGTGCAACGGCCGTGTGACAGTTCGATGTTCCTCCGCATCATCCACCCTTGCCCGTGCCCCAGCCATGCGCACGCCATCTCTCGCAATCTCCCATTGACATGCCCGGCCATCTTGCCGACCTGCTTCTTCTTCTTCTTCTTCTTCTCACATCGTAGCTGGCCGGAAACTAGACATTGCCGCCTACCTCTAACCTCCCGTACATCCTTGTTGGCGTCGAGCAGCTGACCCGTCTCCCTCCCGTTATTGTATCGTCGTATTCGCCTCGCAGACCGACCGAAGCGGAGACTTCACCGTCCTCCCAGAAGCTGCCATCACCCTTCATACCCCCGGCGGCAAGGGCTCAACGATGCCCGACTCCGCGCCAGTCGACCGAGATGGCCAGCAGACATTCCGCGATGAGCCTCGAGAAGTCCCTTCCGACCAAGAGTCGACCCTAAGCGGCTATGTCGAAGACGATGACACATACGATTCCGATGCCTCGTACTACCTCAACCGACGTCGCGACCGCCGCAAGAAGCATGCCGTTAGATTAATCGCCTTTATGACGGCCAACATGATGGCCCTCTGCGCTGGCTCCAGCATGGTCTTCTCCATGTATGCGCCGCTCTTCCAGTCCCGACTACACTACAGCCAGCTCCAGGTGAATGGTGCTGCCAGTGCCTGCTCCATCGCACTGTACATGCCCATTTCTGTCCTGGGATACGTATGCGACCGCTACGGCGCACGACCTCTTGCCCTCGTCTCCGCCATCCTATTCGCCTTCGGCTACGGTCTCGCCGCCGGCATCTACAGAAAGCTCGACCTCGAATACAACTCTGTGGGCAAGCCCCGAGGCGCCAGCGATGGGTCGTATCCCTTCATGGTGTTTGCCTTTGTGTGCATTGGCGCAGCTACCTGTGCTGGATACATCTCATCGGTGTCGACGGTGGCCAAGAATTTCGGCAAGGGCAAGTACCGTGGCCTGGCGCTGGCGATGCCCATTACGTGCTTTGGCCTGAGTGGCATGTGGTTGAGCCAAGCAGGCACCAACGTCTTCTATGAGCGACGCCCTGACGGCTCGCACGGCGATGTGGACGTCTTTCGGTTCTTCATCTTCTTGGCCGTGCTGTTGTTCGTCATGGGCATTATCTGCAGCTTTACCCTGCGTGTGGTGGACGAGCAGGACCTCATTGAAGAGGCCATCGAAGAGCTTGAGAACAGCGGCCTGCTGAACGGCAGCTCTTTCTTGAGCCGGTCTCAGAGCTACGGTGGTGTGGCCTCCGCGGAGCCTAATGAGGATGCAGATCCGTTTGATTCCGCAAAGGACGACGTAACGTGGAAGAAGAACTGGGTTCTTAATGCCGAGACTCGCGCCTTTCTATCGGACCACACCATGTACATATTCGCTTTGGCTTTCCTCCTGGTGATTGGGCCTGGCGAGGCGTTCGTCAACACTCTGGGAAGTGTTTTGGGCACTCTCACTCCTCCACATACAATCAGCGTGTCGAGCCCGACCTCGGCCGCGACACATGTGTCTATCTTCGGTGTTACGAGTACCATCGCCCGCCTTCTCATCGGTACCCTCACCGACCTCCTCGCTCCTCAGCCACACACCCAGCATGCCCAGGTTGGTGCTGTGCGTCCTTCCTCGCCACTGGGTCGCCTTTCCGTCTCCCGTGTTGCCTTTTACATCTTCTTTGCCGGCCTCCTTGCCTCTGGTCTACTGGTTCTTGCATCCGGTGTCGTTCAGAGCCATGCCGAGCGGTTCTGGATCGTCTCTGGCCTTATTGGTGCTGGCTATGGAGCCATCTTCAGCCTGACCCCCTTGATTGTGACGATCATCTGGGGAGTGGAGAATTTTGCTACCAATTTTGGCGTCATCGCCACTATGCCTGCCATCGGGTCGGTATTCTGGGGCTTCATCTACTCGACAGTGTATCAATCCGGGGCCCGAGAGACGCAGAATGCCCCTGGCAGCCAGGATGGCGGCGACGACGATGTTTTCTGTTACGGAAAGCAGTGCTATGCACCGACATTCTGGGCCGAGGTCATCAGCTGCCTGGCAGCCTGCGTCTTATTACTGGTGGCCTGGAAGGGCAAGGGTGGATGGCAGCAGCGTGGCATTGTCATCTGAAACTACATATACCATCACTTCATTCTTTATTCTTTTCTAGCAGAGCGATTTGTTTCTTCTCTCATTAAACGGCGTTTTGGTGGCGGTTTTTATCAATGATTGGATGTAGAGCAATATTCCAACGTCTTCCATTCTCTTTCTCATTATTTTTATGCTAAACTGTTAAGATTGGATGCATTTTTATCTTGGAGAGCAGCATGATGGGTGAACAGATACATCTCCCTGTTCCTCTCGTTTACCACAAGGACGGCCTCACGAACGGCTTTTCTTATTTCAAATACAGTTATGACCACAGTCATCAACGAATCATTAATCTCAATTACCAACGCATGTGATACTCTGTTTAGGTTAACAGCAGATATAATGTGACAAAGTGCACGTCAAGCCGTCGATGACGACAGTGCTGACCATCATAGAGAGAGCACGTGATTCCGCGATTGCCGTTTCGCGTTGGCTGACTCCGCCCCGCGTCTTCTGCCTGCACAAGCTCAGACCTCTGGCGCCTGATCGAAGTTGGCCGCATAAGCTTTCGTCTGGATTTCATGCCCTCGTTTCATTCGCCTAATTGAAGGGGAAGAGAGGAGAACGGTTCTAAGCCATCATGACAGACACCTCAGGTATTTCTACCAGCTCAAATACGTGCTCCATTGCGGTCTAACCTGCCTGTAGAAGCGGACACCATCCGCATTCTGGTTGCGACAGATAACCATGTCGGCTACGAGGAACGAGATGCTATCAGAAAGGACGACAGCTGGCGGACGTTTGACGAGATCATGAACCTTGCCCGCACCGAGGATGTCAGACCAAGCCCACCTTCCCTTCGTCGACCATCCCCAATAGATCATTAACATACCGCTGAATACAGGTTGACATGGTTCTTCTCGCCGGCGATCTCTTCCACGAAAACAAACCGTCCCGCAAGTCCCTCTACCAAGTCATGCGAACACTCCGACAGAACTGTATTGGCAACCGACCGTGTCCTCTCGAGTTCCTCTCCGATGCCTCCGAGGTTTTTGAAGGCGCCTTCACGCACGTCAACTACGAAGATCCTGATATCAACATTTCCATTCCCGTCTTTTCGATCCACGGAAACCACGATGATCCGTCTGGCGAGGGCAACTACTGCTCTCTCGACCTCCTCCAGGCCAGCGGGCTTCTGAACTACTTTGGGCGGGTGGCCGAGGCCGATAATATCGAAGCGAAGCCGATTCTGCTACAAAAGGGTACCACGAAGCTCGCACTTTTCGGACTGAGCAATGTGCGCGACGAACGCATGTTTCGCACGTTTCGAGACAACAAGGTCAAATGGTTCCACCCCAACGTCCAGGAGCGCGAATGGTTCAACCTCCTGGCCGTGCACCAGAACCATCATGCCCACACGGCGACCTCGTACCTCCCCGAGACTGCCCTGCCTGACTGGCTTGATCTGGTCGTCTGGGGTCACGAGCATGAGTGCTTGATTGATCCCACTCAGAACGCAGAGACGGGGATCCATGTAATGCAGCCTGGGTCGTCGGTCGCCACCTCGTTGGTGCCCGGAGAGGCTGTACGGAAACACGTGGCTGTCGTGAGTGTGACTGGAAAGAACTTCAAGATGGAAAAGATCCCACTCAAGTCTGTACGCCCCTTTGTCACGAGAGAACTGGTGCTTTCCCAGGACAAGCGATTCAAGGGCCTCGACAAGAAGAAGGATAACAAACAAGAGGTCACACGGCGGTTGATGGAGGTGGTTGACGAAATGATCGAGGAGGCCAATCAGGACTGGGAGGCTATCCAAACGGACGACGAGGCTCTTGAGGATCGCCCCTTGCCACTCATTCGGCTGAAAGTAGAGTTCTCAGCCTTGGAGGGCGGCCTGTTCGAGTGCGAGAACCCCCAGCGCTTCTCGAACCGGTTTGCGGGAAGGGTGGCCAACACCAACGACGTGATTTATTTTCACCGAAAGAAGAAGCAAGAGCGTATGCTGGCCCCCGTCTCGTTCTATTTCCAGACATGAGCTAACCAACACGGACAGGCAAAACGAATGCGACAAACCCAACCCAGGCCCTCGAGGCGCTGAACGACAGCAGCGACGCCGTCAAGGTCGAATCTCTCGTGACGGAGTTCCTCCAGGCGCAGTCTCTCAAGGTTCTCCCCCAAGGTCCGTTTGGAGATGCTGTCAACCGATTCGTGACCAAGGACGACAAGCATGCCATGGAACTCTTTGTAACAGATCATCTCACTGGACAGGTTCAACAGATGCTTGGGCTAGAGTCGGATGACGAGGATCTCGGTAGCGCGATGGAGATCTACAAGACCAGAATGGAACAGCAGATGGCGATGGGTGCAGTGACGGCAAACATCCCTGAGCGGAGACGTGTCTTGAAGCCGAAGCCGGATACGTGGGATAGTGATTTTGATGGTGAATGGGCGAACGAGCCGGATGCCTGGACGTACGAGGATGCAGGTCAGAGTATGGCTCCGACAACCCAACAGTCTAGCCGACAGTCTCGGGCAAAGGCATCACGGCAAGTAGTGGACGATGAAATGGAAGTGGAGGAGAGCCAACCGCCACCAAAGACTACAAAGCGCGCGACAACTTCCAGAACCACGAGAGCAGCACCAGCAGCTAAGAAGGCACCGGCGAAGAAAGCGCCAGCTCGGTCTACACGTGGTCGTAGGGGAACACAGCAGGTCGAAGACGAAGATGAGGAGGAGGAGCCAGAACCAGACGTCATCATGGAGTCTGATGAAGATGTGGCACCACCGCCGCCCAAAACTACAACGAGGCAGAAAACTACAAGAAAGGCGGCCCCTCCACCCGCACCCGCACCTACCCGCAGTACGCGAACTCGGCAGACTACGCTGAATTTCTCGCAGAGTCAGGCTGGAGCAACGCAGAGCAAGAGGAAGGTTGGCGGTGCCGCTCCCTTTGAGATTAGCGATGATGAGATCTCCGATGATGAAGACGCCTTTGAGCCGGCGCCGGCGCCAGCTCGGGCGACACGCCGGAGGGGTTGATGGGATGTGGATAGATGTTCATTTATTTGGGGGGTTTCTTTTGCTGCATATGGCGAAGCGTTTGTCTATGGATGTATCGGTGGTGTTTGTGACGAGGAGATATATACCCTAATAGCATTGTAGTTCTAAATACCATCATATCCTCGCCTTGACAATACATCTGGGTGACAGAATAAATGAGGCATCAAATTGAAGAGCAGTCATGGCAGAGTACTTTCTGCAACAGTACAATAATATATCTACAACGATATTAACAACAAAAATTCATAATTAGTTATATATTTTCTCTTGAGAATTTTATTATCAGCCTCAGTATTCTGATTATACCTGTCGTAGACTTGAAAATAAAGCAGAAGTGATATTTGGGTGTCCCTCACTGGGAAAGCCACTGGGAAAGCCACACCTCTGCACCGCCACAGTAGCGGGGGATAAGATAAGATAAGTGTGGGGCACTTTGCTCATCTTCAGGCTTCTGTGAAGCATGAATCATCTTCAACTTGTTGGCTGCTGCACTTCGCGCATTTCGCTCGCGCATTTCGATCTTTTGAAGCACACCGAGGACCAAACGCAACTGTTGTAAACATGGGATCAGTAGTCCTTCCTCACCTCAACTCAGGATGGCACGTGGACCAAGCCATCCTGTCAGGTTCGTTGCCCTTCGTCCCCTCGTTGCCGCGGCGCATCCGCATTCATGAGCTGGGCTAACTTGTTGTTTTCTCTGACTATAGAAGAGGACCGTCTCGTCGTTATTCGATTTGGACGTGACCACGACCGGGTAAGATAGGAGCCAGCCCGCTTCCTTGCATGGGACCCAGCTCTCTGTCCACTTACTTACTTTTCTCCTTGCTAGGACTGTATGCTCCAGGATGAGGTCCTCTACAAGATCGCCGACCAGGTCAAGAACTTTGCTGTCGTGTACCTCTGCGATATCGATCAGGTATGCTCTCACCGGTCGCGCCATATCACCTGTTACTCTCCAGACTCCTAACCGCGCTCCAGGTCCCCGACTTCAACGCCATGTACGAGCTGTACGACCCTTGTTCCATTCTCTTCTTCTTCCGCAACAAGCACATGATGTGCGATTTCGGCACCGGTAACAACAACAAGTTGAACTGGGTGCTGGAAGACAAGCAGGAGCTCATCGACATCATTGAGACGATTTACCGGGGAGCCAAGAAGGGCAGAGGTCTGGTGGTGAGCCCCAAAGATTACAGCACGAGGCACCGATATTGATCGGTCTCTCTCACTGTCCTTTCAAGGAAGGAGGAGGGGAGGCTATGAAAATTCTACAACAGACTTTTGCGTTAGGCACCAGCTATTCTTTTTTCGCGGGGCGCTCGTGTTAGGTAGCAACCAATATATCCAATCTTACTGGCTGTTTGATCACCGAATAATTGTTGCCTTGGTTCAAAATATTATCACTAGATTCAGCGTCTATATGTGCTTGAAATGGCCTCATATGTAGGGGATCGTTCTATTCCAATTATTTGTTCTTAAGAGCAACACACCGCTCACGCTCATCCACTGTGAGATTCTCACCCCGCTTCTCCACTTCAACGCTGACAACGTGATAGACACCGCAGCTTGGTCAATCGCAATGGCCCATCAGGAAGATAGAATCCCCTGGGAGAGCCTGGCGTCGAGCCTTGAGTGGCAGTTCGAGGCAGAGTGCTGTTTCGGCGCCACAAACTTCCACCCGCGAAGGCTCGATAGCCGACAGGAGAGCTTCATCCAGTTCGTCAATGCTCTTTCCGCGAGGATCTGCGAATGCGCAAGACAAGAGCGTCGGCAATTCCCCGAGAGGGACCAGAGCCCATCGCCGGAGGATGTTGTAATTAGCGATAGAGTGGCTGAGAAGATCAACCCGACTATTGAGACGTGGCGGAGAGACCGCGAGCTTCGTTGCAAGCTCTATTTGATGGGCGAGCCTGAGTGGCAGCTTCTTCCGAACCCGGCAGACCGGGGAGAGTTTGAAAGAACGCTCTATCAACGCGGCCATGACGGCATGGAGTATCGCCATGTGCTTTCGATTGACCAGCGTAAAATGGAGGCTTTCTTGCACGAGCACACCACGACATGGAACGAGTGCCGAACCCTCTTCGAGACCAACGGCCCGGCACTGTTCAGTGCGGAAGTGGCCAAGACGCTCCTGATGCGTGGGGAGATGGGCACACTTCTCCGGATCTGTTCTCACCCGGAGGCAAGTATCCGGACGTGGTGGAATGCACCTAGGTGCGGGTGCACCAAGATAGGCTGTTACAATCCATCCGAGGAGATTAGCTGGAGGAGGATACACACCAGCGCCCTGATGTCGTACATTGTGCTGAACGTCCTGTCTTACTTCCCCGACCAATTGGGAAAGGGCTCTCAGTATCCTGCTCCTGAGAAGGACTACCGCCACTCCAAGGCATACCAGAGCATGGTGATCCACGCAACCGAGCACAGATGGACGGCTGATGTCACTCAGTTACCTCACCGGCTGTTCTTTGGCCTTGAGAGAGGTCAGCTGAGCCCAGTCCCCAGAACGACGGACGATGGGCCTGACGATGGTGATATCTCCCCCGAATATCCTTTCATGTCGAAAGGGTTCATGCCCTACGACCAGTTCCTGAACTGCCAATCCGAAGCAAAGGGCCATCTGCCTACTGCGGTTGACATCGCTCAGGTCAGGGCAGGACTGATCAACCAGACGCAGCTCCCGCCCGAGCTCGTCAACGATATTCTGGTGGAAGCGGACTATGACGGCCCCCAGAGCCGGCTGCGCGTCCCGCACCATCCCTTCCACGCTGACAACGCGGAGGATCTGAAGACGTACATTGAGTACTGTTGGGCTATACTCGTGCGGTGCGAGATGGTTGCGAGGGAATTGGGGGAGGGGATTCGTTGGCATAATGATATTACTCGGGTCGTGAATGCTTGCTTTAACTGCTATCGCGGGCCGAGGAGCTTGGGTGCGATTTACTCAGGGCGGGGGATTGGTCCTGGGGCTGGGCGGGATCTTTTGATTCAGTATCAGATGATACAGAGGCATCATTAGTTTGATGTAGAAGTTTAACGTGGCGAGCGACTCCAAGATGAATAAGAGCCTTCGCCTCCTGCTCTCATCCCCTTCTTCCCACAACTTAACTTTTCATCACCTATGTCTAGCCACCATCTCAAGCTATTTTCTCCTTCGCTCTATACAAAATAATGAAGACTTCCCTTATCCCTGGTTTTGAATTGACGACTTCATGTTCAACCATCTTCACTCTATGACAGCCTCGGAGTTAGCAGATATGTTTGGCATCAAATTCTAGATGTGGGACTTTCTTCAAACCTCAAAATCCAAACTGTCTCGCTTATGATTATAGCTCCACTAAGCTACAGAAGTCCTGGAGACAATCTCTAAAGCGGAATAGCCATTCAAAATTCATAAAGGCCGCCATATTCATCTCGATCTCTCGACAGAAGAGGAAAACCCCGTTCTTATCCGTGAAACACGTCAGCTACATGATGAGTATGCTCACTTCTAGGGCCGCGTCGAAAAAGAGGGTGAGTCACCCTTTGTATGCATCAGTTTTGGTTTGTTCCTGGACTCTGGTCCGTTCGCCTGTTCTACATTGCGGCGCCCTTCAACTATGGCAAGAAGGGGGTTATGACCCATATCCACTGGTGCTAAAGTCGAAGCTGGGAATTGCCTCGCGGCCTTTTTATGAGGTGTGTGTTTCAGGGTTTCTCAGTAGGCCTGGGCTTTCCGAGTGTAAATTTCAATGGAGCGTGTTGCCCCCTGGAGCCATACCATTGCCAGAGTGTATTCTGGATGCGATAGGGAGTACCAGGTATTTCTACAGCGTACTTCGAGAAAACTATAGAGCAAGTATTGGATGAATGTTTGGAATGATTAGTCTGGAGTGATGATGTCTGCTTCGCTTCGACAATTCATTATACCCTGTGGTTTTGCGTAACATAGTGAGAGGGACTTATCATGGCACAAGAACCTTTTAGCCTGTAGGAGAATGAGCTTTTGGTTTGTGGAATAATAAGCAGCAAGAATATGCTAGTGTATGACTTCAGACAATAAATAGTCTACTTTAAATGTCTTGGCCTGTCTCGTAAAAGATATGGTCTCTTTTGGTAGTAAACGGAGTAAATGGAGAAGATGTATTGAGCACCTCTTGCCACCTTCGGCAAGAGGAAAGTCATATTAGTTGAGCCAGCTAGTCTAATCTCGAACTTCCGAGCGCGCCTCTTTAAGTTCCCAGTCCCGTGTTACGGTAATACCAACTCTGCTGTGGTTTGTGAAGTTGGACGAAGAATCGACATGGATATCCGTGAGAGGAAACTCGTCTTCGAGCCGCTCAAAGTCTCGATTTACCGGCTTCCTATTGTTTGAAAAGTTCCCACGAGACTCGTGACTTGGTAATGCGTCCTTTGACTTGCCACTCAATCCCTCACTGTTGCCGCTTCGAGAGAAACCGAAGACACCTGGCCCGAACATGTAGGTGAGTGCTGGCATCATAGTCGGCAGGCAAGCATTGACCACGCCCAACGCGGGCTCGAGGGCTGACCAGATGGCGATCGGAACGACGGTGTATGTGAGATCGGTAAGATCCCAGTTCCAGATCCATATAACTCGTAATAGCGACAGTACGCAAATGCTAACACTGGTCAGTGCCATTTCAACTTGGAGGAGGACAGGCTCGGCTTACACGATACCTAAGCCAAATATGGCTGCTATGCTCAAGCGCTTGGCCATCGACATATGGAGACCAAGAAGTAGTGGCATCGGCATTGTAACAATGATGACGTCGAGTATTAAATTGGTGATGCCCGAGACCAGATATGCAATGTTCTCGCCCTTGCAGCTTCCACCTTCGATGCTCTTGTCCCATATGAACTGGACGGGTTTGCAAACCAGGAAGGCCTCCAGCACGACACTGATGAAATATAATATAGAAAGGACCATGACCGTATAGCAGAGGCGATGGAACTTCTGGCTGGGAAAGATAAGGAGATATAGCGACAGGATCGAAAACTTGACGGAGGTATTGGATGCGGCCCAAAAAAGCTGTCCCGGAACGAATAGCTATCCACGGCCGTTAGCATTGATGGTCCTTGAATCGACTGATGAGAAACCACTATTCACCTTGAGAAATAGAGTGAGCTTGGTAGGATCCGTGGTCATGATATCTTGGAGATGCTCCCCTAATCCCGCTTTGATGCAGGCTATGACTGATCAGCACTCATGACATCGCGTGTTTCCCTCAGCCTAGAATATGATGAAGGACTGGAGAGTTATCCTACCTACGAACGGCATCCCCATCGAGCCTACACAGAATACTATGCCTAAGATAACTGCGTAGTCGTTGAAAGCGAGATCGGCCCTCTGGATGTGGCGGGACCACAGTCGAAAACCCAGAGCGGCGAGGGCCAACGCATAAAACACAACAGCCGTCACCATGAACTCCACGGCTCCATGCGGGAGAGCCATGATGGACACCGAACTAGACTGCCAGCAGCGATTTGGTGTTTATTTGACGCGGGCGGTTCATGAGAGTTGCAAGTGGTGCGAGTGTTCGCAAAAGGAAAAACGCCCACCTTTACTACAGACCTACGAAACGGGGAAAAGAGCACAGCACTCGGTACTTACTTTATGAGCGAGAATTCTCCTCACCCGACTTCTTAGGAACCAGGTCTCCGGGATATCACCTGGGAACGAACTGCCAAGGGGACTGGGGACGGCACCTGGGAAAACCTTCCCCGTTAAGTCCTTGAAACTACACGCCTTTGCCTCATCTGTGCATATGCACCTTAAAATGGTAGTTTCCTTGAACATCCCTTACCCTTGCTGCATGGGAAGTAAGTTATGTCTAAGCGAGTGGCCAAGTGGCGCGGATTTGAGACGGGCGAACCTGTCTACTGGAAACGGTGGAGTACTCGGAAAATGTGAGGGCTGCTCTCTTTGGGCAGTTTCACGCGAATAATAAGTTCTCCGTTATAATTCTCCTAGCCCAAGAGCGATTTCGCAGACCGAATCAGGTCAAAAGTCATGCAACGCGACATCCAGGGTGGACTCTCCCCTGCATGGAGACCCTTGAGGTCTCCCAAACTGCGTAGTGCTTACATCTCCACCCGAATAACGTACGTGAATCCGCAAGATAACATATATGTAATGAACTGGGGCAGGCAAAGACCGAGTGAAAAGTGTGATATTACATACGTATGGCTGTTCCCAAATTCCCCGCGGGACTTCGGTTTGCTTCCAAACGAAGGCTAATCTTCACTGCAGTGGAGAAAGAAGGCTTCGACGACTGGGAACCTTGCTTCTACACCTCTACAGACGCTTGTCCCTGAGCAGCTGCCTCCGCTATGTAGTTTGCTGCAGCGTGGCGGCCCCCGTAGTTGCGGGCTGTCTCTGCCAGAGAGCGGGCTTTGCTCTGCATGGATTTGCTCGACTCTCCTGTCAGTGCCTCTAGGAACCCCTTGGCCAGTGATTCTGCCTCCCAATCTGGCGTTACTTCCTGCCCTGGCCATATGCCGATGCCAAGATACTCTACTGTGCGGCCTGCATTGTACAGATCAAACCACAGGGGGAGAATGACTTGAGGAACGCCAGCACTAAAGACACATAATCAGTAAATAAAGCCTTGAAAACATGAGGAATCCAGGTAGTGAAGTCAACTTACAAGATAGCTTCATGGAAACAACCAGCGCCACCGTGATGGACCGAGACGGCAATGTTGCCCGTTTGCAGCAATGAGATGGGTCAACATTCAACCACGTCTCGACCCGGAGCCGCCCGTTGCTGATGTATTCTCTCACCGGATCGAACACTTCATCACCATACTTATCTGCCTTGCGGAATTTCCAGAGCACCTGGCTGTTCTCCGCCGAAGCCAGGACGATCCTGATGGCCTCAACCATGATCGACGCTCGTTCCTGGGAGTACTGAACCAGGCTGCCCAGGTTCACCATCATCGTCGGGCCCTGCTTCAGCCACGAGGCAAGCTCCGGGTCCTGCTCCTCGACGGTCGCGGCATCTACCACGACGGGGCCACAGAACCTCGTCGTGTCGGGAATCACCTCAAGGGGCAAATTAGCCTCGGGGAATGTTGCGATGATTGCAGGGACTCCTGGGACACCGAAGCCCGGCTGGATTGGGTTCTTTACCCCGCGCCCTTTTAGATACTTTTGCATAGCAACGATGCGAGGATTAGTCAAGAGCCCGATGATCATGCGTATCTGCAGCCAGATGTTGGACGGCACCAGGTTCCAGGGAACGGGGTATGGGTAGCCCGATGCGAGGCTGGGAATCTAGTTAGCTAGAAGCTCCATGGTTAATAAACCTGAATGGGAATTGTGCTCACGCAGGGTATTTCCAAAAGCCGGCGCCCCATGGTTGATCCATGGCAAAGAGCTCATTTGCCGTGTTCGGACTCAGAAATGTGAATCGCCGGTTGACGTTGGCGACCAAGTCCCCAGCGGGTGCGAAGACAGCATCCAGGACAATAATGGCGGGGTCAACCTCCTCGACTATCTCCAGGAGGCGTTTGTAGATCGCGTAGTGCTCCTCGGGTTCCCAAGAAGTTGAGATGACTCCATAGTCTCTCAGTGTCTTCTTCAGTCCACGGAACGCAGGAGGCGAGATCAGGTAGTCAAAGTTCTTCCATTCTCGCAGGACGGCATTCGTCATGTCCAGCCCCGGCAGCTCATGAAATTCAATGGGCCGAGTGTTCCCCTCGGCGGCTGAGGAGATGCGGTCCAGCTTCTCACGGAGCTTGGGGAACGAGGCAAAGTGAATCTCGACGGAAGGATGCTTCTCCAGGAGCGACGTGGTGGCCGCCAGGTGCACATTGGACAGTCCGCTGGCTTCGGTAGTGATGAAGAGAGCGGTGTTGTTCCGGCCAGGCAGGACGGGTCCAGCTGGCTCTGTCCCTCCCTTGGATAGGAAGACGTAGAGTATCGATAGGCCCAGGACTATCGGTGCCAATAGGAACACTCGATTCTTGACGGCCATTTTGGTGGTTCCTTACGTCAAAGGAAGGTAATTGAAAAGCCAATCGCTCCAGGACGAGCGGTGCTTCGCCGTTGTGCTACATGCTATGGCTTAAGAGGGATACAGGGAGAGCCCACTTTCCAAAACTGGATCGAGCCGTTGGCTGCTGAACTTCTTATCATGCCATGATGCCATCACTGGCTGTGGAGAGCTATACCCTGGTCCTTGTTGGATGTTGACAGTCTGTCAGCTTATGGAGTCAGCTTATGGAGGCGCTACTGTACATGGACGCAGGGATAGCATCACACCAACCCACGACAGTCGGCATCATTTCATATTCTGTTAGTTCGAGGCCAGGTACCCCTAGAGAAGGACATTGCACCGTTACATAAGGCGATTGTCACTACTTCGTAATATTGTGGTGGTGTGGTTCGGTGCTGGGGGTAGCTGTAAGTTACTGCAAAGCTGAAAGGGAGCATGCAGAGGCGAGCCGGGGAATCACGCCGGCAAACGAATTGCAATGCTGGTCATGAGGTTCGTTCGGAGAGATCCTTCTTTGTTACGGTAGCATCTCACCAAGGAGAATTCCCAACGTTGCTTTGCACAGCCGAACACTTTTAAATGTACCCTGGTCGCTGTGATCGATCTCCTCCCTGCGTCATTGTGCGTGCAAATCGATTTACCCTAAACAGTCGAGTTATGCGACGGCATCGACTGTTTCAACGACCGCTATCTGCAATATTATAGACCACCATGCGACTAGTGAACCGTGGGGTGACATATTTACCAATACCGTGAAGAAAATCGAGGTTCCAAGATTATAAGTCCCAAGGATCTAAAGATCAAGGAATGAATAAGGCATTGAATCTGGTAACTGTGAGTTTCGGGAACGAGAAGGATTTGCCAGTGGCTCAGATTGTCACTAGGCGTCGGCATTTAGGGGATAATGTGTGCCGCTATAGGGGTTCGGCAACAAAGTTACAGGGGAGCGCGGCAGAAGGAGCCCCTAATTTAGCTCCCGCACAGGGCTGTTGGTCGCTGGCGACAAGGCACTCCGATCTCGTGACATCTTCATCTCTGATTTCGCCAGTTGTGATGCCTCACTCGCAGCCCAGCTCCTCTGCTACACCTCACTTATGCCGCATTCCGAATCCCCTTACCTCCTCTCGACACCTGCGTTTCCATCCAATTTTGCAGTCACTTTTGAAGCTGTCCACAGTCCCCGCCACATGGCTCTCCAAACCATCGTTCAGTATGAGGATATTCCTGATGACCTACGCCAAATCGGGGATGATATAGTGCTTGCGTACAAATCTTACACATGGGGTCGAGTACTAGGAGCTGGTATGAAGCAAGGCGATGATGAAACGCATGAAGCAGCGATGGCGGAAATCAAGGAGGTCCGTCTTAACCATTTCTCAACCCATCGCAAGTAATCCACGGTGCTTGTCGTCTAACATGTCATTATTGTAGGAACTCTGGAGACTTGCATTCAGTCCTTCTAACGAGTCGGCGTGGAATCCCCTGCTCTCAGTTCCCAAGGCCAACCTTCCCGACGCACCAAAACACAAAGATCTCCGCGTTTCGTGCGGCTTCTTGTCCACCCACGCGCCGCCCTCCACATGCAAAGCCCGCATGAGCGCCAGAAATAAGATAAAACCTCGCACTGACCAAGCCCGCCGTCAAGGTGAGCGCGTATACGTGCAGCCTCGCCCCCGCCACCGGAAGCCGGATGAGATCGAGTACTTTTGGGCTGACGAGAGAGGGAAAGGCGTCGACCTGAAGATTACTAACCTGTATACCTCTGGCACACCGGAACTGATTGAAAAGGTCAAGGTGATGGCTATAGCGCAGAGAGATGAGAAGGTGATGCAACACGCTATTCAGCATAACAAGGAGCTGGCAGCCTACTGGCTGAGGTGCCGCTTGGCCAGAGCTTTGCAAGAACGATTTCCCGAAATCCCAGTCCAGCAACGGGTGTCTAATCCCACGAGGGCTGACTTTGAAGAGTTTATCCAACCATTGATTCTCCATACCCTCATTCCGGAGGACGAATTAAAGAAAATTCAGGATGAACATCATGCGTTGTTCGAGAAACTAGCAGATGGTTCCTAGGAATATAGCTTTCTAGCATATTCGTCTGATTTCTGAAGATTAATGACCTAATGCGCTCTCTTTCGCCATAACAGAAGGGAACGATAGTTATTCCATATACTGTCACAGAATAAGAGAGGGTTACATACTTGTCGGCTCTACTATCAAAAACCCCGGTTAGATTCGTCTTGAGGCTTTGGCTACCGTTTCCATTGTAGGATAATTGGCATCGAGTGATATTGCGTGACGTAGGAGACGCCAAAGGAGACGAGTAGCTTCTCCGCAGAACAATTCTCCAGTGCCCCGAACAACAAAGTCTCAAAATGAATAAAGAGGTTAGATAGTAACAGAGGAAAAGAGGTTCTGGTTCCAGAGAACCATGAAATCTTCCCCTGATCGTTATATTACTCAACGTGATCCTCAAAAGTAGGATTCACAAGGGAGAGGCTGTAACAGCTTATCAATGCCACAAATACTCTCCAAACAAGATACTCGATGCGACGAAGAGAAGTAGGGGCAAACAATGTATAAATGATTCCCCTCACTATATTATCTTTCATTATGTTAAAGGTTTAAAAGTTTTTTTTATTAACGCTATCTTCCGAACCCTGATTTCTTCCATATCTTTTCTTCCCTTCTTGTCATACCGCCCTACTTATTCTTCTCGTGTTAGTGCTCTGGCCAAAGGGCTACTGATACTCACTGGGTTAGTTGATTCGCGCTCGGTTGAAGTGTGTGGATTGGCGTACAAGTGTGAAGCCAGGTGAAGAGGGCAGCTTTAATAGTCATTCAACGCGCAGCTTGTCCTGACGGCAAGCGAGTCATCGGCATGAAGGTTTATAGAATTTTCTGCCGTATAACTGCAGCCTTGGGCTAGCAAAGCTTTTTTTTTAAACCTTTCATATTCATTATGTTGAGTTATTGGGTCTGACTTCTTCTTTCGTTTTAGCTTTCTATCAAAACTCTCTCCGGTATAAATGATTCAATGGCACGAGAGTTTTAGAGTAGCTGACAGTCGATAAGTTAGATATGTACAGAGAGCTAGATGTCGAAATCAGCCTGAGAACTAGAACCGTCGTGAGAGCTGAACACCCCCAAAGATTGAGTCGTATGTCGAAGAAGAAGCAAACGCATCCCAATCCTAGATGGAAGTCTGCTTTGGGCATGTTGCCAGCGAAGAGCCAAGTGGTACCAATAAAGTACAACAGCGAGGACTACAAGGAGATAGATCGGATGATTCGTATTTAGGGGAACCTTGATGCCATTGAAAACCGAGTCGAAAGAGACATATATCACAACCCTGCATTGACGGCCAGTCCCTTATTTTGAGTCAGAAGAGATCCCCCTATGCTCCACAGTGCAGCCCAATCTCAGTCATTCATTTGCTTAGTTTTGGACTAGACGTCCTTCGATGTATTGTGTTGGCCTCCAATTTCAAAAAGTGATGGAACTCACCAAGCTTGTCTTGAGTTGAGATTGATGATGATATGTACTAGCATACCTAGTGTACCAGCAATACAATGAACCCATATATCTTTTTTCCCGTCTGTATAAGAATTATTGTATAATATCGTGGTGGGTTGCGGGCCTTGGTAGAACAAACCCACACCAAAAAGGACCTAGGACAGCTAACCGGACAAGGGAAAAAAAGATCGACAACGACAGGGTTCGAACCTGTGCGACCGAAGTCATGAGATTAGAGTATAAGCGACCGGAGTCAATTCAAGTCTCACCCATTAACCACTCTGGCACGTTGCCTGTTGGGCAGAAGACAGCATATTTCTTGTATAAGTAAGATTACGCGTTTTCTTCACTACCAAACGCCCTGCTACCAGCACATGTAATGGAAGCAAGGTCTCCAACAAATACCATTGTTATCCGTGAAAGAAAAATAAGTAAATATGATACAGCAGCATTTGTATCACTCTAAGCTTCCGGCATGTTTTAGAGGAGACAATCGAGATGTTCCAAATACGCTCTCCCTCAATCGTTGAACCATGTATCACGGACACAGGGAAAAGAGCACCTCAGCTCCTCCATTCATGGATATAATAATAAGTAAGAACCCGCTCGATCATTTGCGCACAAATTCATATAAACACAAGCCTAGGATCTCGATATCCACCTTATTCACGTGCCCCTTAAGAGTTTTCTTAAAATCACACTTGTGAAGCAAGAGTCCCGAATTGTAATTCCCGCGAAGATAAACATCTGGAAACGGGATTGAGTTGATGATATCTATTGCTGATGAAACACTCAGCCCTCGGTGAGGGGCTCCAGAGAGGCCAACTTTTGGAGAGTCGACATCCAAGATAGGGAGAATACCCGTGGAATGCATTCCTTGGATGAGCGCACCAAGATAGGACGATCTGCATTCGAGATGACAACCTAGCGTACCACGGCTCAACCTATCTCGTTGATCTTCCAAGTGCGCCACCAATGCATCTAGGATTTTTATTCTCTCGGCTTTTATGCCATCTTTATGAATTAGATTAGATGCATGCAAGAGGTGAAGATGATAGATGCGCGCTGCCTTACCAATAATGGAGGGTCGGATGGGGAGACCAGTTGTGTCCAACTGCTTACCAGTGAACCGAATGGCCACCTTGGTGCAGTGATGAAAAATAGATGGCTCATCAAAAACCGAGGATATCAGTATCCATCTAACCAGATCCTCACAGATGTTTTGGGGAAGCGGGGTTCGTAGTAGGCGGATCTATGATTTGACAATGAACCAAACAGCGTCTTCGCATTGCAGGTCATCAACCACTGCAGCAATATCTGCAAGGGTTGCAAGTCCAATTTGATCAGAAACCCCTTTTGTATGCCCGTGTATGATGTTCAGTACGATTTCAAAGGCTTCAGGAGTAAAAAATGGTTCAAATAACCAATGATATAAACCGTCTGTGCCTCGTGACTCTGTTTCCTTCCAAGGGCCGAGGAAGAGTTTTTGCGCACGGCGGGAGGCAAGCACTAGATGTTTCTTGGACACCTTCATGCGCACAGTCTTGAGTATGCCGTCTGCTGGCTGTTTCTCTCCATTCTTTTCCGCATTGCTATTTGATTTTTGGTCGTCGGCTGCCTCCGTGGCTGATGTGATGTATGGAAGGATGATCAGTGTATCTCCGTCTTCATCGAAAACAAGCATTTCAGGTGATTTTGTATCCATGGTAACACTGGGTCGGCCTACGGAAGCAGTGATATATACGAGTCTGGATAAGTTCGAAGTTTATCGAAGGCACCAGTGCCGATAAGTCGATGTTGCAAAGATGACGCGTCTTGGTGCTCTGAATGAGTGGTGGAGCTGTTCGTGAGAAGGCGCGACGGACGTCCGTGCTAAAATTTGAAAGGTAGCATCCTCTCTAGGCGCTAAGACTAGGCCCCAGGAGGTCTTAGGGCGCTGCATTCAAATACAGCAGGTGAAGCCATCCATCTCATCACTAATTGGGTTAATGTTATACATATCAGGTTATTCTTACCTAGAATTATAAGTCAGACCTTTACTGGAGCTGATATCCATATTTATAGCTATGTGATCCTACTAGAAGTCAAATCTTTTGTGCCGGACGTGATGGCTCGATAGTAGGATCCCTCATTTTGTGCAAGGAACACGCAGCGGAAGACTCACAGGAAGCATTTCGTTTTAGATTAATACAATTAGGATATGTATTTCGAAGAACTAGATATTGAATAAGCATGCGTCAAACAGAAACCTAGTTTCGCTCTAAAAGTAGGGAAATTGGCCTGATTATCTTTTGTATTAGTTCATCTAGATGCTAACTCTTCGCCAAATGCCCTAGACACTGCAAACACGATAAAGAGAACGGGAACTGGCCGGGGTAGAGTTAGCCTATAAGGCATTTGGAAGTGTAGAAACAAAAGTACCTACTCTTTCCCTTGTGTCTCAGGTTATCAAGCATGCCGAAGAGACGGAGTAACCCTTTCTGGTTGCGGACTTCGGGATTTGACCTGCGGAGCAAAGTTGAACCGGCCACAATAGGGATCAAAGTTCCTTTACATCGAAAATATAGCAGCACGCCATCCTAGTCACGTCATAGCTAATGATTCATGCTCGGCGAAACATGTCTCTGGCTGCACGATTAGTAAGAGGAGGGGAACTGTTGCACCGCGCCGAGACAGGCCAATTTAAACAACCAACATCCTCTATTTTGCAGCCGGGGAATCTTGACCCTGTGAACGTGATTCCTTTTCATAGGCAAATCATAAAATGGCAGAGTCGGCGGAGTCGCGGAAATATGACCTTGTGGTGCTGGGAGCAACGGGGTACACTGGAAAACTGACAGCACAATCCGTCGCGAAGAACTTCCCAGGCGACCTCAAATGGGCAATTGCAGGGAGGTCAAAAACGAAGTTGCAGGAACTTGCTGCAGAATTGAGGGGGATAAGGCCAGAGGGATCACATCCAGGTACGCTAGCCCCTGAACGAGTCCGATTGTACTTACTTTGCTAATACCTCTACAGATATTGAGATTGCTGATCTCGAGCAGGCGGATCAGGTAGATGCCGTGGTGCGACAAACCAAAGTATGCATCAGCATAGTGACATACTGGAGAGTCGGAGACGTCGTGGTTGAAGCATGCATTAAACACAAGACGGACTATGTTGACGCGTGAGTAAGTCGACGGTCGCTCTCAGTGCCCAGCTAACCAACCGAGCTTTCAGCGCAGGAGAACCTTCACACCTCCAGGGATGGATTGAAAAGTATCATGAAAAGGCCGAATCTCAAGGAACTGCAGTAAGCTTCTTCTGAACTAACAGATAAATGGGATGTCAACTGAGATGAGAAAGCTTATACACGCCTCCTCGCTGTACAGCGGACCTCAAGATCTCCTATCTTGGGCAGCCGCACGAGAACTGAAACGGGCGTTTGGAGCAGATACGAAAGAAGTCATCCTCACTAATACAAAACAAGAGTATGGATGGATTGATCTTCTTGCTTTTGAGACATGAAGCTAATACATATCTTTGACAGCCCGAATCCCAGCGGGGGCACTTTTGAAGGAATGATGCGCGGCGTATCCAACAAGCAGGATTCCAAAGAACCCGAAGCCCCTCCTAATCCATGGATCGTATCACCCATTCAAGGATCAGCAGTGCATCCCCAGGCAACTGGGCTACTCATCCGCGAGGATTCAGATCTCGGCTTGCTGTCGGAGTACGCCATGGCTCGACTTCAAAACCAAGCCATAGTCTATCGCACCTGGGGTCTTCTCCAGGCCACGAACCAAGGGCCAGGCCCAAACTTTCAGTACAATGAGTACGACAGTATCAGTTCCAAGGTGGAAGGATTCTTCAAGATGCTTGAAGTCAAGATAGTGACCACCTTGCTGTCCAACATTTTGACACTGCGCCTGCTCAAGTTGTTTATGCCAGCGCCAGGATCGGGGCCTGATGTCCGCAAAACAGCGACGCACCCCATTGAGATGAAGGCTCTGGCAATCGCAGACGGCAATGATGCGCAGCGAGCGACCGCCAGTTTCTCATTTCCGTCCGGATCTTACCATACCACAGCGTTGTTCCTGAGCCAGGCTGCGGCATCGCTTCTTTATTCCAAGTCCCTCCAGGGTGGTATAAAAGGAGGCTGCCTGACGCCTGCTATCTTGGGAGAGGATTTTGTGCAGAGGCTCAGGGCAGCGGGGGCAGTGATTGAGGTCTCGTCAAAGCAAAAGTGAAGCTTCATTTTCAGTCAGTCTTGGAATATAGACTGTATCATGGAATCATCTGGATTTATCGCTTGAACAAACTGAAGGTAAATCATAGAGATTTATTTTAGCACTTTCTGTTTCTGTAACTGCAGAATCGGGAGCTTCAGCGCTTGGGTTCTACTTGAGCATTTTCATTTCTTATATTCCAAACTAAACAACTTCGTGATCTATAAAAGGCGAAATTGCCTACAAACATCCTTTCAAGTATTCTTAATCTTGTTGACTGCAATATATGCATGTGTCATCGCTGGTCCTAGGGTTGATCCTGCTCCGAGATACGTCCTTCCCATGATGCTGGCTGCTGTATTACCGATTGCATAAAGGCCGGGAATGGGACTCCCATCTTCCTTCATGACGCGCTGAGACACATCGGTCAAGAGTCCACCTTTGGTTCCCAAGTCTCCGGGATATATCTGGATCGCATAGAATGGTGCCTTCTTCACAGCTCCAAGGTTTGGATTGGGTTGGCACTTTGGATCGCCAAAGAACTGGTCATACTCGGAAGATCCCTTGCCATAGTCTAGGTCAACTCCTTGCATGCACATGGAATTATATTTATCAGTGGTGGCACGCAGACCATTAGAATCAACCCCAATTTGGCTCGCAAGATTCTCAAGAGTCGGAGCCATAAATATCCTCTTCTCATTGAGCATCTCCTTGGACGGTTTCTGCCTTGCAAACAGGCCACCAAGCATGTACTTGTCCCGATGGGACTGGTCCATAATGAGCCAGGCTGGAATCGCTTTGACCGTCTGGTTCCTGTTGTACTGATCATGACCTGCATCTGTATAAGACTGTGCCTCGTTCATGAAACGTGAACCGGTCGAGTCCACAATGAAACAATGCGGTCGGGCGCGCTCGATGAGAGCGAATGAGACGTTGCCGCTGACCGGATCGATGATGGTAGGCCCCCACCACGCATCATCCATGAGCGATGTAGCAGCTCCGATCCGAATACCTTCTTGGATTGCGTCGCCGGTGTCTCCTTTTGGCGAACTGGTCCACTCGGTGGTGGCTGGTTTGGGGAGGAATTGTTGACGCATCGCCTGGTTGCGCGCGAACCCTCCAGCGGCTAGGATAACCCCCTTCGCTGCCCCAACTGTAACGAGACCTTTGGGCGTTAGGATTTCAGCTCCAACCACGTTACCTGCCGGTGACTGGACAAGTCTTGACAATCTGGTGTTGAAGCGGATGTCGCTACTTGGATTTGTCTTGAGATTGAGATGGAGCAGTTGAGCCACAAGAGCCCGGCCAAGGCTGGCGGAGTCATGCCCAGCAATAATTTTTACGAGAAGCGGCATCACTTTGATTGTTGCCTCAATAAAGGCACTCAATGATGAAGTGAGGCGACTGAACAACGGGGCGTCGTTTGTGTATATGGCAACCGGGAGATCGCTCGGGGGCAGCCGAGACCGCCATTTCCCAAGCTTCTTGGTATCAAACACCTTTGACTCTATGGTGCGGCCACCACCTTTTCCAAAAGCCCCGTTGAGGAACGGGTAATAGTCTGGGTATCCTTTGCTGAAGTGAAACTCGAAGCCCTGTTCCTGGAGCCATGAGATCATGCGCGGTCCATTGGACAGATACGCCTGCCTCTTCTCAAGAGACGAAGCTGGTCCTACATCTCCCACCGCCTTTTCAAAATACTTGAGAGCGCCCTGCTCAGTGTCTTTGATGCCATGGGCCTTCGAGACGGAGTTACAAGGAATCCATAAGCCGCCTCCAGAAATGACAGATGCGCCACCCACTGTCGCTTCCTTCTCAACAACCATGGTGCGAAGTCCAAGTTGAGCACCGCGGAGGGATGCTGTGAGCGCACCAGCCCCGGAGCCGATAATGAGCACGTCCGTCTCCTCGTCGAACGTGCGTTGGTGGTTTTCATCTCCACTACTACACGTGGCAGAGTAAGGCCGCCGTAGGTAACAGGGCAACTTTGACGTCGAAGGCAAAACTATGTGCTGACATAGTCGTAAACTTGGTGCCCGCATCACATCCAAGGTCAAGACTAGTGTTGGGAATATCAATAGAAAGAAAAGGGGAGCACAGTGTAAGAGTAACGGTGGGCTAGATAAACCAATGAGTGATATTTGAGCAGAAAAACAGAGCCAAAATCAATCAAGAAGGAATTTGGCTGATAATATGGATTAAGCAGAGCACTTCATGTGAAGATGTCCAGTACTTGCGATCTTATACGGTTTATCGACTGCTTAAAGGCCGTGGACATACAAGCTAAACCGAACGTGTCTTCAGACCCTTGTACTACATGGTATCTCTTGAACCTGGACCCAAATCGTCTCACTTGTCACTAGAAGTGATGAGTCTAATCCCGTAAGTCTGCTTCGTGGGGCTATAATTCTCTCCCGGGCCCGGGCATACGGCTTCCGAAAGACTCCGGCACACTGTCTCGTACTCGGGCTTTGGCTTGCTATTGCCGCTGGGAAAGCAGCAAGGGTGGCTGTACCTATGTCCTCCGCCAATTTAAATTTGTTGTTTGATTACTGTGATCGACTGGCGTTGATGAGCGGATGACGAGCGTCTGATCATTATTCTGTTTAATAGAACAATTTCCGGTCTTGTGCCAGCCATGCTTATCACATTGCTTTCTGTATGACGAATAATTCAGCTTTATTCGCTCTAATCACTCGTAAAATCATATCCTTACATTCTATGACCTAACAGAAGTATCACTCGACTTGTTTTAGAACAATGTGGTGCCGATCTTCAATGCGCAAAATCAACTTTGTGCTTCATCACAACGGCAGCGTCTTACCAATCCGCAACTACCTTACTTCAAATCAACATGCAGCCAGGTCTCGCAGAGACGCCGATGTCATCGTTGTTGGTGCCGGCATAGCTGGTGTTTCGGCAAGTATTGCGGCGGCCGAGAAGGGCGCCAGTGTCATCCTGCTCGACGCAGCCTATGGAGGAGGCGCATCAGCGCAGTCTGGGGGTGTCGTCTATGCGGGCGGAGGGACCGATCAGCAGAAGGCAGCAGGCTATGGGCATGATACACCCTCCAACATGTTCAACTACCTCAAGCAGGAGGTGGCAGGTACTGTTGATGACAAGACTTTGCAGACTTTCTGCGACGGCAGCTCGCAACGGCTCAAGTGGATGGAACGTCACGGCGCAAAGTTCGAAGCCTCGCTATGTCCATGGAAGACTAGTTATCCTACCGATAAGCATTACCTATACTTCTCGGGCAATGAAAAGTCGTGGCCTTATAACACAGCTGCCGAGCCCGCTCCTCGAGGCCATCGAATGAAGAGCCCCGGCATGTCCGGTGCTGCTCTGTGGCAGGCTATGTTTCAGAGTGTTCTCAAGCTTGGTGTCCACGTCAAGCCTGCCACCAGGGTGGAACGCCTGCTCTTCGATGAGGATCCAAATGGTGTTGCCATCCGGTCCATCGAACCTAATACACGTGCCTTCTCCCGCCACAAGGGTCTCGCACGTCTGGGTCATGGTTCTCAACTCATGGTACCTGAGCTGGCCGACCTCTTTCTAGACCGAGCAGAAGCCGTCTGGGAAAAGTCAAGCACCTCTTCCACTCTCCACGCCCCAGCCATCATCCTGGCTGCTGGCGGATTCGCTTTCAACAAGAAAATGCGACAAGAGCACCTCCCCGAATTCTCCCAAGTAGCACCTCTGGGCACACGAGGTGACGATGGGTCAGGCATTCATCTTGGCCAGTCCGCTGGCGGGGCCGTGGGCAAGATGAATAGCATGTCCGCATGGCGGTTCTTGTATCCCCCTACAGCTTTCCTCGAGGGCATCGTGGTTTCGCGCGACGGCAATCGATTTATTAGTGAAGACATCTACGGGGCGACCATGAGTGACGGCATGATTCGCAAGCACGAAAGCACGGCATTTGCCATTTACGACTCGATCCAGTGGGCCAAGGCCAAATCACAGCTTGGCGAGCAAACACAGCCGCCCCTCAAGCTCTAGAGACTTCACACGCTCTTATGGGGGCACAAGAAGTCGTCGACTCTAGAAGGCTTGGCACTCAAGTTTGGCATATCTCCTGATGGCCTCCGCCAGACAGCCTCTACATACAATCGTGCCATTGCCGAAGGAGAGGCAGACCCTATGCATAAGGCGGCTGAATACTGCACTCCGATCAGCCAAGGTCCCTTTTACGGAGTCGACATCTCGGCGCAGCCTGCCGGCGTCCAAGCCACTCATGGGCTCACGTTGGGAGGTCTGATTGTTGATGGCGAAACAGGACTGGTCTGCCGCAAGGATGGTTCTACGATTAAGAGGCTGTACGCGGCTGGAAGGACTGCTGTCGGAATATGCTCCAACTCTTATATCAGTGGGCTTTCTATTGCTGATGGTGTCTTTTCCGGAATCAGGGCGGGGGAACATGCTGCGCAGATGGCATTGGGGTCAGATTAGACTAGGCTACAACACATTTTGACGTGTAGCTACCAGTGAGGAAATAGAATTATAGGAAAGTCCAAGAACCGCGCAAAACGAACGAGTAGAGTGTCAATACACTGTCAAGGTCTTATGAGTGGTGATCACGGGGGTATGAGTTAGTTTGCTTTCGAGAATTATTGCTAGTAGATGTGTATTGAAAATGCGATGAACTATGGTTTTGTAGCTTCAGCGATACCCTTGACTTTATCCGTCATTTACTGGCTTAAAATGCGTGTAGAGTTCTCGATGAGTGTGATATCATGGCCTTGCTTCAATCGGAACTCGTCACTATATCTGCCGTGAAGAGCATGGACCCTTCTTCTATATCTGAATGCATTCAATACAGCCGATTTGCAGTTCATATGACATATACAATATCCATTAAGTAGTTTGGCACTACGCCGGAATTATTGCTTCAACGGTGATCTCGATGTTTGCACCCTGCCACAACTCAGGGACGGTAACAGATGTCTGCGAAGGCCTATTGGCGCCGCAAAACTCCCGGATGAGGCTGGCGTAGATACCAAGTCGCTCCTCACTCAAGTTGGGGCTATGGTATGCAACGCATTTATAAACGTTTTTCCAGCCATCCTTGGCTCCAGCGGCTATTAAGTTCTTCTCAACGTTGAGGAACGCCGCGTGGAGCTGTTGGCGAGCGTCTTCAAAAGAAACGCCTTCATCGTCAAGGCCAAGTTGACCTGTGATATGAACGATGGTGGCATTTGCAGGTACGGTGACTGCATTAGAGAGGTTTGCAAACTCTGCAAAGTCCGCAGAGGCATCGGGTGCGTTGTAGCATCGCACTCCTGCCTGGAGAAGAGGCGAACCCTCTACACGGTACTCCGACGAAGAGGTTGACATGATGAGAGGAAATAACGACTTGTGGTTGCTTGATCAAGGACCGTGCTCTGGATACTATGTAATGGATATAGATGATTCCCCGTTTCAAGTTTTATCTGCCGAGATCAAGCTAGCGTGGCGAGTGGGCGATTTCAGTGCAGCGGGTAGAGAAGTAGAGACTTTGTTTCGCGACCTTGTATGCAAAGATGAGAACCGCTGATTCGAGGCTGCTTGATCCTCAGTCCATCGTCTACTATTTGAACTCGTTTTTAGACGAAGCCAACGGAGATTCGCTATCATTGCCTACTTGGGCCGGGAATGGGAAATGGAGTAAGGTTGTGAACCCGAGATAGCGGCCATTCTAGTACAATTCCTCGCTCGGGTTCCGCGGGCTTCGACCATATCGGGGGTTTAGACACGTTCGTGCATGAAACATGTTAGTACGAAGCAACGGCATCCGACACTGGGGAGTGAAGCAGGGGTGAACTAAAGATACTCCGTACTTGCGTTAGTTGAGCATTCGGAATTTCGGGACGTCGATTGATATCCGGAGCCCGAAGCCATACGTCAGTTCGCTACATGAGAAGATAAGCCTTAATTCACAATGAAACGTCAGTCTGGGCAACGAGGACGAACGGAAATGGGTTTCACATCGGATGATCGGTTGATATCACAAGGGAGGAAATAGAATATATATTGCGATGTAGAAATAGGTCCATGCATACTCTACTTGAGTAAACTGTTACTTGACTAAACATTGAGAAATCTTGAGCAATAATGAGCCACACAATTGAGCAGACAACTGACTTCCTACTTGGCCTTGGCCTTACGACACCCCAACGCAATGTGATCCTGGAGGAGGTCTCGAAAGAGAACAGCAAAGTGGTAGACGCTGTGGTCTCCCAGCTGTTTCCGGACCAGGTTGACTTTCCTGGTGCTGAGGCTTACACACAGTCGATCAAAGGGAATTGGTACACCTAACACTCTACCCTTGCTCTCTATATTAACAATTCCTGGTCTCACATGGCTAATATTTCTACTTCCAAGGTCATACCTTGCCCGCAGAGAAGCTTCGGCTGTCTTTCATCCAACCTCTCCCGGTCACGTGGCTCTAATTCTCAAAGCACTTGAGTTTTTCGGGGAAAAGTTTGCGATACGGGGAGGAGGACACTCTCCAAACCCAGGCTGGGCGGGAATCCAGGGTGGCCTGCTCATCAGCACTGACCGCCTGAACAAGCTCGAGCTGGATGGGGACTCGGGCGTAGTGAGTGTTGGCGCCGGCAACCGCTGGCGGGACGTGTACAAGTACCTCGATGAATTCAAACTCATCACTACTGGGGGCCACTCGGCCCCAGTGGGATGTGTAGGCCAGATTACAGGATGTGGGTAACTCACAAATAAGTTTGGTATCATCAAGACCTGGCTCGTTAATACCATCTAGGCGGAAACTCCCCCTGGTTTCACAAATACGGGTGGTCTAGCGAGAACGTGGTCAACTTCGAAATTGTCACTAGCGGAGGGAATATTCTCAACTGTAACAAAGACGACAATGCTGACCTGTGGTGGGCTCTCAAGGGAGGTTCTAACAATTTTGGCATTGTCACACGCTTGGACATGAAGACATTTCCCTGCCCTAATGGTGTCTGGGGAGGCTATATCTACTGGCAGCATACTCCAGAGTTACAGCGCAACACGGTCGCGGCGTATTACGACTTTGCGATGCAGCGCATCGGCGTCGATCCCGGCGTGGAGACGCTCGCAGGATGGAGAGTCTTCGATGGCCACAAGTGCATCCAATGTGTCCTATCGGCTGATCGCAATGTTCCTGGAGGCGGTCACCCTGAAGCGTTCGATGGCTTCTATGACCTAAGCCCTGACGGACAGGCCGGAAATTGCAAGCCCAGTGAGCTTGCTGCTCATGATGTTATCGACGAAGGAAACGAGGACCCGTCCATCTATTTCTCGGAAAACACTCGGTGCGTACCTTTAAACCATCATGGATCGAGATGCCTGGGAACTAATGGTCATAGATCGAGTATGCTCAATATCACGGTTAAGACAGACCTATTGTACCTACAGGAGGCTGCCGAGATTTTCTTTGAGACTTACGCAGAGTCGAGCCAGACCAAAGGGGCCATCGCATGTTTGAATCTTTCTCCGATTGCGGCGCGAACCATCCGAATGTCAAATAAGAGGGGAGGCACGGCTCCTGGGTGGGACGAGGAGGATCAAACGAGTAGGTTCCCCCCATGATCAACCTCTAAGTTAAATGGTTGGAAAGATAAGTAACAATGAGTAGTTGTGTTTCTCGACAATGCTTGGATACGGGGCGAAGATGATGACTACATGCTGAGTACAGGGAACCGGTGCATCGAGCGTCTGCGCGCTGCTGCCCAGAAGCGTGGTGTTCTCAAGCCACAGATTTGGATGAACAATGCTGGCCCTGATGACGATGTCATCGGCAGCTACTCTCCAGACAACCTGAAGCGACTTCGGGAGATTGCTGCTAAGCACGACCCCAATCAGACTTTCCAAGTTCTGTGCAGCGGAGGCTACAAGCTCGGTCAGAAGTAAAGAGATTCGGATAGGGAACCTTATAGGGGCGTACAGACAAGAGGAACTTGGTTTAACAATCAACTACCGAGCTACATTGATGCCATAAGCCCAAGGGACGAGATCTAATATTGTCCTTAGATGCAAACTCATAAGTAGTTGACACTCTCTCGAAGCTGTTCTACCATGCCTTAAAAGATGAAATAATAATCAAGGTTTATTAGTGTGGCCATGAATCTACCGATGTAAAGGTCTCTCAGTATCAGCAGCTAAGCAACCAATATTGTCGATGAAAGGACATTGAAGTTCTCATCATAACAAATCCCGCTCGAAGCACCCAGAGCTTCACTAACAACTAGCCTCAGACGCCACGGAGCTCCATCTTAGAATAGCTACAGGCACATTTCATCCAACTAAAGCCACCTGGCCGGGAGAGGTTGGATGAAAGATAGCATTACCAGCTTAATTCTCTCAATAGTGATAAGGGAATATAGTATCATCAAGAAAACCAGAGCCACAAAGCTAGGTATATAAAGCTTCGGATCCCTATCACGATAATTAGCTACGCTCGGTATCACAGATCAAGTCAGGAAGCTATCTTTAGGAGCACCGGGCTGTTACTATATTAGCTACCTATAGCGGATAACTGTTAGAGAGATATGTCGCTCATAGCCAGGCTCGGTGAAGGGATGTTGTGAGGCCGGGCTGAGAGATATAAAGGTGGCTGAAGAGGGTGGTCGTTCAATAGCAAGATACTGGAAAAAATGAGAATTTCCAATTGATAGATTTTCAAACATGCAATGGATCTCAAGTATCTCTTCTTGAGTTGAAGAGGAAACCCCACATGGCTAAAGAAGTCTAAGTACTCGTTTTCTATTCTCCTCATACGCCACAGACACCCGATGGCTAGGCAATAGGCCATCGAAACCGTGAGGGAGGCCCGGGCTGACATGACATTCCACCTCAATTCCTGCTTCAATAAACCTCTTCACATATTCAACATTTTCTTTGACAAATAAGTCAAACTGAGATGTGTCCAGATATAATCTTGGAAGGCCGGTGACGTCCTTAACACGGGCTGGGGCTGCAGTGTCAGGTACATCATCTCCACCCGGGGGCTTGCCCAGATATGCCGTCCAGCCGGTCAGATTGTCCTCCTCATCCCAGAGCTTGAAGTCACCAGGAACCTCTCCCAGAGTTCGATCGTCAAGCATAGGTGAGCATAGAATCTGATAAGAAATAGGAGGATGGAGTTGGAGATTGCGTGCTCGAATAGTCATAGCAGCAGCAAGGCCGCCTCCAGCGCTATCTCCCATGACAGAAATGCGCGCCGGGTTGATGTTGAGCGCCTGAGCATTCACTCGGATCCATTCCAGAGCAGACCAGCCATCGTTAAGGGCAGCCGGATATGGGTGTTCAGGGGCGAGCCTGTAGTCCACGGAAAAGGCTTGCACGCCTGTGTCGCGCACTATCGAGGCAAGCCTTTCGATCACAATGTCAGGAGTAAGGCTGATAAAGCCTCCTCCATGAAAGTGTAGGACGACAGGTGATGTATCTGGCTGTTCGTGCAGTTTGAAATGGTATAGTCTGAGGGTAGAACCGCATTCCCCCGGGACCGTAATGATCTCAAAAGCCACAGATTCAGGTATTTTTGGCTCTACACCGCCGATTGCTTCGTAACGTGCTCTTCTAGCGTTCACATCGTGAAGAGCTGGTTTTGCGATGTCTTGTTGACCTTGAAGGAACGGGCCAAGAGCGGTGATGAACTCTTCATCAACGGACAAAGCCATGAGAACAGTAAATAATGATCTTGAAACAGATGAATGATGTTCCAGCTAGTTTTAGAACAATGAGAGGCGCCAGATCAGGCCAGTTTCCTCAGAAGCTTATAAAGCATTCCCAGGAGAGCCGTATAATGCGTTTGGGTTAGGGTTGATCCAACTACGTCGTCCTCTCATGCAACATGGAGCATAATTCTACTATTCCGCAACACCCGGGAAGACGACGTTGAGGTTTCAGCAATGTGTGTTTGCCCATTCCTTAGCTAACCGAAGGGCGGAATCTTGTGACTGTTCCGGGTTTTCGGATATCGGGCTTTCGGCTGAACAATCAATCATAAATGATTGACAAGGAAGGAATTCGATGCCATGAGCGAGAATCCCGATATGCACCTCGCATCCCGAAACCCCGGAATGGGGCTGTGTGTCACCACTCCACCACTTGGTCTTTACCTGTTCTGCGCCCCTACTATCATTTCTGCCACGGAATAGTATCATTTGGTCAACGTGAACGCTGCGCATCTGACCGTGACCTCGTCCAGCAGCCACTTTGGATTATGATGTTCTCCCGGGACCCGCTCTAACATTAGGCTTAGCAACATTATCGAATGACTGTGGTCCCATGTTTCAAAGGTGTGAAAGCAATTAGAAATATGCCATTGTATTCTACGGGGAATCCATTCTTTCACGTTGCGGACAATTGAGATCTCTCCGAGCCGAGTATCAAACGTACATTTCATAGGATCGGGTAATGAGAATACATTTACATATAGATCAGACCTGCTCATCATTTTCATCTACACTTATTTGACTAAATATCTCACCTAGGTATTTGAAAAGCAACACTATCACGCGATCAGCCAGACGAAAGATGGCTCTTGAAAATCAACGCTCAAACGGCGCACGGTCCATCACGGCCGACATTGTCATTGTCGGCGGTGGCTTTGGAGGCTGCAGCGCCCTTTATTGGCTACGCAAAGCTGGATACAACGTCAAGCTCATCGAAGCTGGGACCGACTTTGGTGGAGTGTGGCACTTCAACAAGTATCCCGGAGCGCGCGTGGACTCTGAAGTGCCCCTGTATCAACTGAGCAAGCCTGCAGAAACGTGGCGTTCCTTCAACTTCACGGAACGCTTTCCTGGTCACGTCGAGCTCCGTGATTACTTTGCCCAAATGAGCAATGCTCTGGACCTTCACAAAGATGCCATATTTGATTCTCGTGTTGTGGAGGCGAAATTCGACGCTGCCTCAGATTCTTGGACCATGAGAACGGATAATGGCATTCGTACCATGTCAAGATACGCCATATTTGCCACGGGAACTACCAACAAGCCGTATATTCCACAATTTCCAGGATTGGACGACTATCAAGGAAGTATTCTGCACCCCTGTCGATGGCCATCCGATCTTGACCTTTGTGGAAAGAAGGTGGGCATTGTCGGTCAGGGCGCTTCTGGTCTACAGATTCTCCAAGAGCTGGCCAAGGAAGATGTTGGAGCCGACCTGACTGTCTTTGTGAGAAACCCGCCAACGGCACTGCCTATGGGCCAGCGAGCTATTTCTGCTGCGGAGTCCGAAGAGAAGAAGAATGCATACGAGGTTCTCTTTTCACACGCCAAAACAACAGACGAGTCGGGCTACGCGTACGACCCCCCAACTCGATCCTTTTATCAAGAAACACCTGAGCAGCGCGAGCAGTTTTACAGCGACCTCTGGGCCCGAGGCAGCTACGCCATCCTGACATGCAACTACCCCGAGCACACCTATGATCAGGCCGCCAACGCAGAGCTTTACCAATATTGGGCCAAGGCTGCTCGTGCACGCATGACAGATCCGGTGAAGAAGGACATAATGGCCCCATTGCAGCAGTTCCAGTGGATTGGCACCAAGAGACCCAATTTGGAGCTGGATTACTATGAGATGATTGATCAGCAGAATGTCAAGCTGGTGAGTCTCAAACAGGAAGTCATCCAAGAATTCACAACAACGGGAATAACCACCAAGGTCATCTCCGATGATGCTACTGTCGAGGGAGCTACACACTCTTACGACTTGGATGTAGTAATTATGGCAACCGGCTACGACGGAGTCACGGGGAGTTTGTATGAGATGAACATTGTTGGCAAAGACGGCGTGCGCCTGCAAGAGCGCTGGTCCTCGTCCATCCAGACATATTTGGGCATGGTAGCCCCTGGGCTGCCCAACATGTTCATGCTCTATGGGCCGCAGGCACCCTCGGGGCTTGCCAACGGGCCACCTTTTCTTGAGCTGCAGGTCGACTGGGTTTTACGATTCCTTGGAAAACTGAAGGATGAGCAGGCCACTACATTTGAGGTCAAGTCTGCCGCTGCCAAGGAATACGTTCAGCGCAATCTTGATGTGTATGGTCAATCACTGGCTAAGGATACACCTTCCTGGTGGAACGGTTCTAATATCCCGGGGAAAGTGATAGAGCCATTGTTTTGGACATTGGGTCTTCAGGAATGGCGAAAGGAGACTGAAAAGGCTTTGGAAGACTGGTCCCGTTTTGATCTGAATTAAGTGGTCATCGCTTCCGGAGGCGACTTTCTTGCAAAGTTCAGTCGATAAGTTAATAGAATAGAGGGGATATTAACCACCTATATATGAATTTTCGATTAATTAGTATTTGTTTTCTGAAAATCAAAGACAGAATGGATATTGTACAGCGGACATCTTCACGTGAGGACATAGGACACTATTCAAACTTCCAAGATGCAAAATCATAAAGGCCCGGAAACCGCAGGAATTATATGTTGATGGTAAAAATCCTTGCACGTGAAAAGACGAATGTTTTCTTCACTTAACAAGTGCTTTATCGTTGTGATGAAATATCTCTACTCGCCGATTTTCTCCAATACCCGAGTGAGACTTTCAAATTCAACATAAACACGGATGACATTCTCCACGGCATAGACAATTCGAATATACGAAAGAGTATCCACGATTGTTCACTCCACTATCCCGATCAAGTTCTTATAAGGGTTCTGTAACTAAAACAGGGCGTGCAACTAGGCTACGGCCAGCCGCCATTTACCTCCAGAAGCCGGCCAGAAATCGACGACGATCCGTCTCCCAAGAGAAATAAGATTGTATCGGCGATTTCCTCCGGCTCCGAGAATGTCTTGAATGCACCCCTAAAAGCGCCGTGCTTTTCATGGGTACCATCCCGAAGCTCCGTGGCTATCATTGGCGTATTGACCGCGCCTGGTGCCACGGTGTTAACTCGGTACCCAGAGGGACCGAGATCCTGAGCAAGAGTCTTTGTCAGCCCGTGTACTGCGTGCTTGCTAGCCACGTATGCCGCCATCCCGGGAATGCCTCGCACTGAAGCCATAGAGCCAACATTGACTATGCTCGTTGTAGCTTTGCCATACTGGGAGCCATCGGATTGACGGAGATGTTGCAGCCGAGCATGAAACTCTGTGGTGACGTGCCATGCGCCCATGACGTTGACCTTCCAGAGCAAGTCAAATACTTTGTCCTCCTCAGGGCTGGTATTATACGCAGTGGTGCGTAGGACACCGGCGCAATTAACAAGCCCATCAAGCCATAGATTGTCATTCTTAGCACGCCAGATCTCGTTCAGGGCTGCTCTGACTGAATCCCGCGAACTTATGTCGACATTCTCGTGTGAAATTTGCTGGCCGCTTGTGTTTTCATGCGCGAGTATCTTTGTGATATCGAGGGCGTGAACCGTGGCCCCTTGATCAAGGAGCTTTTTCACCGTGGCTTTTCCAATGCCGGACCCCGCGCCAGTCACCACATAAATCTTGCCAGCGAAACTCATTTCTGATCGGTGTGGGATGTTTTGGCTGATTAAAATATGAAGATAAGAAATGCACTTGTATGAATACTACCAGGGGCTAATCAGTCTAGTCTTCGCCTCTTAATGCCTATCCAGATGTTATGAGAGATGTGCAGTATCGAATTCCGGGAACAAATTTGTAGCGTTAGCAATTTCCTTGCCAATCTTGCCACCCATCACGGGCTTTCGGGGCAGTGGTGTCCCGGACCTTCGGCTTAACAGTCTCTTGTTGAGGACTCAAACCGAGCTGCGTCCTCTAAAACTCAAACACACGTATTCACGGCATGTCTTATTCGCTGTTGACTTTTCTTAGTAAACATTTTCTCTTCAACTTGATACGTTGAGTGAAAATTGAGATTTTTGAATCTATCAACTCATGATATAGGACAGCCCAGTAAATAGTGAGCAGAGGTATGTCAGAACCTAATTGTAGAGCCTGATAGAAAATCAAGCTTACTCTTGTCTCTAACGGCAACTTCTTCTAAATCTCAGATGTAATCTGTTGCTTTCCTCTTGGGTGATGGATAATGATGAAAGATCACTGTGACAGAGCACTAACCTCTTTATCCCCTTTACCGCACAATCCTAACTCGTTTAGCTTAGCTCCGGCATTTCGGGTCCGGATCGTTCGGAGCCCGTGGCCATAAATTCCCGGAATCCCTCGCACCCGCTCCAACGCTCTCTTGCTCCAACACTCCCATCGCGCGACAGTGACCCCCAGCCTACTCACCACGCTGCGAGCACTGACTAGCACGCTGTCTGGGCTTTCCGTATCGGCCTTCATCCTAGTTCGCTATCGGCTGGCCTTATCGGGGTGTCTCTCTTTGTCCATGGCGGATGCTGTCCCGGCCACGAAAGCTGTAAGACTTGAAACCCCTTGACTGCTTGCTCGATGCGCGTAGCTCTAGCTAATCATTAACACCCCCGCCCTGGCCCAGTGTGACAATTGCCGGATCAAAAAGGTAGTTGGACATGTGTTCCTGTATTCACATTAAGGACTGTGCAAGTAGACGCTTACGCCCTTTTGATTCTCTATCCACAGGTACGATGTGACCGCAACCAGCCTTGCCTCAATTGCCAGCAGCGAGGTATTGCATGCACCAAGTCCCCACGTGTAGCACGCCCAAGACGACATCGACAGCTTGATTCAGCCCCCTAGTAGGTCCTGCTTTCAAAGGGACGCATCCATTCCGCCAGGCCGCTAATTGCTCGAATTATGTAGTCTTTCAAGAATCCGCCACTTGGAGCGACAACTCGAGCATGCACGATCCGTCAACTCCCACATCTCCGAGCAATCGCCGGGTCCCCAGCGTCATGATCCAGACTTGTCTGAGGATGGCTCTCCCAGCAACTCAGTAGTATCCTCTGCTGCCTCCTTGGATCAAGAATCAACTGTGCCTCCGCATGGCGTTCGAATTCGAATCAGTAGCCCGCCATCTCCCGACATCGCTCATTCCGAATCCGACAATCTGCTCGTCAGACCAGCAGACGAGAATGAGCCTTCTTTGGTGATGGTGGAGGGTCCCACCTCTTTATCCGCTCATTCCAAGATGGCCATTGGTTTCCTTGACAGGGTCGCGGTTGTTGATAGAGAGCGCGGATACAACTTTGATACCAGGGAACTTTTAGACGATCTTGACCATATCGTCCAGGCAATCAAAGCTCCGCAAGCAATGTTAAATTGCTACCCTGATATAGGCGTGCAGTAACTCAACTAATTCCCGAAAGCTTATATAATACTGCCTATTAAGGTATCAGTAGCTACTATATAAGGAGTACAGTATAAGTATATATCTTATTCTTATTACTTTTTATTTCTATTATATCCTTCTTCTGATTTTATTATAAATAGAAAACTATTATATTATATTTCTCTTTATATAGATATTCCTATATTTATAGTTACTTTCTAATATTTATCTAAGAATATACTTTATATCTGATTACTCTATAGCTAACTATATAATTATTAATACTGCTCTAATATATAAGAAAGACCCTTTAATTATACTTCTAATTTACTAATAAATAACTAAGACTTTTTTAATAATTAGATTATAATCTAGAAGCTTCTAAATATATTAATAGATATAACTAAGTTTAGATCTACTTATTAGAAAAATCTAGAGATAGCTCTCTTAAGTCTTTATCTTTAATCTAGCCTAGTATAGAGCTAATTCTTACTCTAACTTTAGAGGTATATAGAATATATTATTAATTATATATATAGACTAATTAGTATATTATAAATAAAGACCTCCAGGCTATATAAAATTATATATAGATATAAAGACTTACTAGAAAGATAACTAATAAAAGTTAGTTTATTATTTAAATAGAATAATAAATAAGTAATAAACTAGTAATAGCTTTATTATATATCTAAGTTTATTTCTATAGTTTAGATATTCTTTTAGATAGTTATTAATAATATTATCTATATATCTATTATTACTAGCTTTATAATATTTATATATTAATAGTAACTTATATTATATAGTTTAAAATAATCTAATTATACTATTTAGAATAATACTCTAATTAGTTTAATTTTAATTTACTTTAAACTCTATTTAATATAAATTAATCTAATTATTATATATTAATAACTCTTATTTAGTTAATTATTTTATTTTAATTACTATATAATAATAAAGAAGATATTATAGCTACTATAGTTCTATAAGCTTAATTATTATACTCAGAAGTAATTATTAGGGTCTTCTGGGTATAATCTCTTCTTATTTTATTATCTAGATTATCTAGACAGCTGTAATCTAGCTGATATATAGCTGCTAGGCTGCTTATCTAAGCAGGGTTCAGCTAATAGCTAGCTGATCCCTGCTAGGATCTTTTTAACTATAATAAGTACTGCCTTTTAAGAGAAAAAAGCTACTACCCCTAGTAGCTAGACTAGCTCTTTATCTGAAGATAAAGTAACTATCTAAGAGAAAAGGAAAAAGAAGATAGATAGGCTGGCTGGACCTGATAAAGATATCTAAAAGAGAAGAAAAGAGAAGATAGATAGGCTAGCTAGATCTAATAAAGATATTTAAAAGAGAAGGAATTTACAGATAAGCAGGTTATATAAATATAAAGAAGGTATCTAGTAAGGGAGAGGCTTAGAGATAGGTTATTTATATAGATATAATATAGCTATCTAATAAAGAGAAAGATTATAGATAGACTCTTTATATAAAAGTAATATAGCTATCTGATAAAGATAAAGATTATAGATAGACTCTTTATATAAGAGTAATATAGCTATCTAATAAGAAATAAAAAGTTAGATAGGCTTTTTATATAAGAGTAGTTAGATTATCTATTAAAGCTATTTATTATTATTATAACTATAGTTATCTTTATAATTATTATAGTTATTATTATTACTATAGTTATTATTACTATAGCTATTATTACTATAGTTATCCTTACTATAGCTATTATTACTACTGCTATTATTACTACTACTATTATTACTACTACTATTATTACTATAGCTATTATTACTATAGCTATTATCAGGATAGTTATTATTAGATTCCTATTTATTATAGCTATAATCAGAGCCTTAATAATTATAACTATAAGGGTTATTATAATAATTAACAGGCTAATAATTATAGCTATATTTATTAAAGCCTCTAACCAGGATCTAATTATATTCTTATAGGTCTTAGCTAATATAATTAATACTTAGTTAGTCTGATCAGTAGCTATTAAAGTATATAACTAGAGGCTAATTATATTCTTAATAAACTTAGCTATTATAATTAAAGTTAGAACTATTAGGTCTATAGCCCTTAAAGCTATTAACCCAGCTTTAATTATATTCTGATTAGTTTTAGCTAGTATAATTAAAGTTAGATCCTTTAGCTTTATAGCTCTTAAAGCTATTAATCTAGCTTTAATTATATTCTGACCTATCTTAGCTAGTATAATTAAAGTTAGATCCTTCAGCCTTATAGTCTTTAAAGCTAGGAATAGGATCTTAATTATATTCTTAAAGCTCTTAGCTTTTAAATAGCTAAGAGTATTCTTCCTTTATCCTGCTATACTACTCAGCCAGATTAATATTAGTAATAGAGCTTTAATTATATCCCTATAAATAATAGTTATTATAATTAATACTAGATCAGTTAGATCTATAGCTTTTAAAGCTAATAATAGAGCCTTAATTATATTCCTAGGGATCTTAGCTATTATAATTAGAATCAGATCTATTAGGTCTGAAGTCTTTAAATATACTAATATAGATCTAATTATATTCTTATAGATTATAACTATTATAATTAATACTAGGTTTATTAGACTAATTAACTTTAAAGTTAGTAATAGAGCCTTAATTATATTCCTATTAATCTCAGCTATTATAATTAATATTAGGATCTTTAGATCTATAGTCTTTAAAGTTATTAACTAACTATTAATTATATTTATATAGCTAATAGCTATTATAATTAATATTAGGACTATTAGATCTATAGTCTTTAAAGCTAGTAACTAACTATTAATCAGATTTCTTATTAATACTATTATTATAATTAATATCAGAACTATTAGGTCTATAACCTTTAAAGCTATTAACTAACTATTAATTATATTCTCTATTATTATAGTTATTATAATTAATATCAGGATTATCAGGTCTATAGCTTTTAAAGCTATTAACTAACTATTAATTATATCTATAAGGATTATAGCTATTATAATTAATACCAGAACTATTAGATCTATAGCCTTTAAAGCTATTAACTAACTACTAATTACCTTCCTTACCGCTATAGTTATTATAATTAATATTAGGACTATAAGATCTATAGTCCTTAAAGCTAGTAACTAACTATTAATTATATTCTTATAAGCCTAGGCTAATATAATTAATATTAGATTAGCTAGACTAATAACTTCTAAAGCTAGTAACTAACTATTAATTATATTCTTATAAGCCTAGGCTAATATAATCAGGATCAGATTAGCTA